GAGGGGTGGTATTGCTTTGTATTTTTCGAGCCCTGCCCCCACTCCCTTTCCATTAGAGTTAAAAACTCTCCCCTTAACTAACTTTGGTATTGACTCGATTTTCATACCTAGAAATATTATAATTCTGGTTTTTTTTTGTTAACAAATTTGGCCAAAAACGTTTCTGCAAAATTCTATACCAAATTTATCCGTGTGTTTTTATTCTTCTTTCTCAGACAAACCAATATATTTAATCACCTTATTTACATTCATTAGCAATCGTAGTTCGTGTATAGATGGCTCGAACACGAAAAATGCCAAACATCTTATGTCACATCCGTATCGAAGCCCTTTCGGAAGATTTTTGAGTAAAACGATGTTAATCACAAAAAAAATGCGACAATGGGCACCTCTCTTTATATTGTATTGTGATGTTTAAAAGTTTAGGTCCGCAATTTAATAACAGTTCATTCTTCAGTTTCCCTGAAAAAAAATTAAATTGAAAAAAAGGAAAAAAGGGCTCGTAAGGAAAACATTGGATCTTTCGCCCCACCACTGGAATCAATGATGACAGATTCGTATACACATAAAAAAAAGCAAATCACTTTATTTTCTCACTACTAGCTAGTTATAACCTAAAGGTCCAAAACCTATGCAGAACTAAAGGCCTGTGCGACATATATGCGTAATTGAGCAAGCGTTAGGTCAAGGTGGCTTGATATTGGCTAGGTTCTTGTAAGCGGTTTTATAGACCTCGACTTCGTCTCGGTCCATACTGAACACAAAAAGGAACGAGGCTAATATCCATTGTTCAATAAACGATTTGGCTTTAGTAAGAATCAAGAATTACATGTTTACTTTGAGAGCTGAGGAAGAAAGCCGACTGTGTCTATAGCATAATTAAGTCACAAGAGTTGTTTATGTTTCCTTTATTTCGACCGTCTTCTGCCACTTTTTGTGTCTCCATCGCCGACAATGTCCAAGAATTACGAACTTTGTAAGTTCATTCCACGCTGCTCCACACAACTAGTAATCTTACGCGTGATCGAAGTGAGCGATCCCGAGAGGGCAAGATGGCCGCTTTATATTGCTAACGAGCGCTGCCAGCGATACAATAATGCAGTTCACCAAAGGTACACGGTCTCTCAATGCTAACTTATAAATTGTGGTCAAGGGCCTCTGACGTTAATTTATTTGAAAAAGGAAAAAATATATTTTGAACGCTTATGACTTAGAGAATAAATGCGGAATGTTGGGCAAAAACAGATATGCTATGTTAAAACCTTCCGGGATGTGCTTAAAATAGGTTGGCTTGCGATTAATGAGAGGAGAGATCTCGACCTCCAGAAATCATGTTTTAAAGCTTTTTATAATACTGAGGCTTGATAAGATTAACTAAAAATAAGAAAACAGGAATGTCACAAGGAACTGCGTTCAAGAAACTCCATTAGATTAACAGTCCCTACCGGAAATCCCACTTTCCAAAATAACGCGTCTCAGACGCGTCGGAGCAATTAAGCAATTTACCATAATTTATTAGAGACTGCAAGGATAATTGGAACTTTTTTTAAGACTTTCACGTATTTTTTTTAAGTAGAGAACAAAGTGATTAGTTAATTTTACGGTAATCCGTTTGTCCCTCTTCTACTTTTAATTGTGTTGCGTAATCCGCTGATTTTCTTTTGAACGTAATATTGTTATTGTTATTTATTTTAAATTGCAAATAATTTAATTTAACAGAGAAGAGTTAACCGCTATTATTATTATTATTATAAGTTTTTCTTCTTTTTTGTTTAAAGGAGTTTGAAGTCAATTGCATCATTTAATGACGCCTAAATTTATTTTTGGTTTGGCAGTTTGCCTTTTTCGGTAAACGTCAAACGGAGGAAGGAAATCCGGGGGACTGGAGGTGGGAGGGAATCGAAAGAGGACTGGGGCAGATACTGAATCACTACGAATAAATAGAGGATTTGCGTGAAAGATTGCATAGGGTTAGGGTTAGGGTTAGTCATCTGTCTATAGAATAGAGGAAATGGAGGCCGCTCAAGATTATCTAAATTCAGAGGTCCGAAGATGTAAAAACCTTTTTAAAATGAAGTGCACATGGTCAATATTATTTCAAAAAGAACTGGGAAAATTAAAATTTTTTTAAATTACTGTTTCTGAGTTATTTTTTATATGAAAAAAAAAACGCCAAGTCAGCGTATGGTCTGGTATGTTTCTCGCACCAATGACAAAGCCGCATTTGGGCACGTCCTAAATATGTGGAGCTAAATTAAGAATAGAGGTGTATCCGCCTATTCTAAGGCATCTCATAAGGTAAGTAGGTATGCACTCATAATCATTTACACGTTGATTAGCAAATATCTTATTTTTCAGTGGGTCCGACTGGATTGAATCACAAAAAACAAAATTACAGTCTCTTGCTAAATGTTAATCTGGGTGCTGAAGGAAAAATTGTTGTGCACATCATGAGCGTTTTTACTCTGATGAATAAATATCTTGGCGTGTACAACGTTTCATACAATCCACCATAGTGGTATCCACGCAAGAAAGTGCAAGCTATATATGTCCGTCATTTTTTTAAATTCAAATTTCGAACAATCACCCTTGTCAGGCGCCCATCATAAGTAATGGGCTCCTGCCCCTGTAGCTTTACATTGCCCAACTTCTTTGTTTTATTATTAGTTTTTGAAAGACGGAAGTTGGGGGTTTGAGCGACATCGCAGACGGATACATAAGGATGGGGTCAAGAATAATCTCGTACCAGCAGAGGGGCATTTTGTTGCGCATGTTCTATAAATTTAAGTTTGATGTGAGGAACCGCCGGTATGCGCCTGTGTCGGTTTCCCGCTCAAGGATCGCGTAAGAAAAGAAGAAGGAAAACACGTCGGAAAACAGCAATGGATCGAGATGGAAGCAACAAAGTTTTAAAATTGTTGTGTGGTGTGTGGAAGGAAGTCATTTTCAAAAAGCAAAAGATTGTACAAACGACTTCGAGTCATATCTTGTAATTGTTTGGGCGATCAATGTAGATGATGTTATTTATGAAGGATGCGAGAGACCTGTCGAAGAGCACTAATTACTTGGCTGGTATACTTTTATCGTGTCATCGCTATCTCAAGTTATCATTGATCATTTGAAGTACTCAATTTCCTGTGAGCGTTTTTTAGCGCTCCAACTGAACCGCTATTGCAATGTACTTCAATTTAAGCCAAAAATCAAAGTTTACAGAAGTTTGTTTTGTTTCATAAGCTTTTTTTTTAGATGAATCACAGCCGGCGGGGCTCCCCTTGGGGAGTACCTATTAAAGTTTTCTTTCTTCTTTCTTTCGTCTCCTCACTATTCAAAGCTGAAACAGCTTCTGAAGGCCTCTTCACCCATTCGGTTGATCTCTCTGAAGATTTGAAGTTCACTTGATGACTGTATTGAAAAGTGTAGGACTGAAATTTATAGAGGCTACCATATTACACCTTTGAATCTCTTTCATGAGTCAAAAACAGCATCGACTCAACTTTAAAGCTAAATATATAACTTGATTGATGTTTGGATCAATTTCTGTAACGTACACATATATTCTAGTTCTAGCTTGTCTTCGTTAAAATCAAACTTTCGCCGCGCAAGAAACAGATAGTAGACAAATTTAGTATTTCAGTAGCTAGAGTTGCCAGGATAGAGGACAGTTGGTTTTATTTGCCGTTGCAGCAGAGGTATTTCCAGAGGTATTTCCAGCCAGAACAGTTGAAAGAGGAGAATTTAAACATGAACACAAGTTACAAAGTGACCTAGCTTTTCTACGCTTATCGTAGGAATTTGACACGTTAGAGAAAAACCGTTGAAGTCCTAAAGAGGGACGTCAAGAGAGGGTATAAAAGATGCCAATACGATTCTGGCATATTGTTTCACTGACGACTGATCTCGCGTGTAAACCCTTTAATCAACTTGTGATATCTAGATCTTAACTCGTAGTTGTTTACCGTCGTTTCATTCAATCTAAACCAAAATTAACAAACACGCGCAATAAGACATCATTTCAACCGATACTAAAGTAATACACGACATCTGAAGAAAACATTCTATATCCTGGACAATCCGTTCAACCACCAGTTACTTGAAAATACCGCTGACTAGCATGCATGTTGATATGTTGATCGCTTTGCAAGTTCGGAGAATATCGTCCCTCCAATCCACACCTTAACTCTTCGACAACCCGAGCATAGGAATTTTAGTAAGTTGAAGGGCTGGAAAATAAACTGACTGGAGCTCCTTTCTAAGGTTGGCTTTTAGGCTTAGCTATATAATATTTGCATGATGGGAACAACTCTTCGTAGCAGGGTTGAACTTGTTGTTGAACTTTCAATGGGGCGAAGCCTCTAAAAACCACAAAGAATCATGGGAGCTAAGCCTGAAGAAGAGAAATTTTGTATTTGACTTTTTTTGACTTTTCACACTTTTTAAGAACAAAACAACAGCTCATTTTTATTCGACGGCCGCTATAAGTTTTATGCTTATCCACCACACTGAGACAAGGGGAATCTCACTCAATGCAAAACTACGCTGTTACTTTCAAGCTCACCACAAACGATTAATTCAACTCAAACAGTGTCTAGCATCTAATTTCTCCTTACAGTGCAAACCTTAATGAAAATTTAAGAAAACGCGAATATAGTAACTGATCACTAACTTAAGAAGCTCTTGACTGTTAAACCAATTCTCCATGTCTGTTCCTTAGGAAACGCACAGAGAATAATAAGGAGAAAATGCACTCTAATTTCAATCTGTGAGGTATTAAATGAGATGCTTCAGGGTGGTAATGTGCTTCACATGCTCTGGACATTCGAGCTGTGACGAAAGGTTTTCGCTCGCTAAACTGGACTTCGCGGGAAACGTACAATAATGGGGAAAATAACTCGGTAGAGACCACTCGGCTTGCGAGAGCGAAAACTCGTCACGATTTCCTGGCACACGGCGATCTACTTCAAATGAGCTTTTACGAACGTGAAGGATAAGACAGCATTTTGGTTCCACAGTAGACTTTTATTCGTACGGCACTCTAACATACATCATGCCAGAGTCAAAGCTGAACTTGTAATCGGCACGCAGTCGTCTATGTAATCGAAAAAGCTTTACAAAGTACTTGCTTAAATATGAACTGGTGTGAGGTTCCATTGTTTTCTAAATCTACCATATTTGGTATTTCGGAAAAGGTCTCTTTGAAGTTGAACGAAAACTACTTGAACTAAAACTAAATATTCCCATCTGTTTCTACGACGGAAGAATTTCAAAGTCAAGAAAACGGATACAATAAACTCGAGGCCATTTAAAACAAGAAACTTGGGTGAGAATTCACAGCTCTGATATTAAAAATGTCTATCTTAGCTACAATAGAGCAGCTTAGGAAATAAAAGTGGAAAAGCCATTAAAAATTTCTGCTTATCTATGCAAGGTTAGTGTGGGAACTATCGTATGAGAGGAAATTAAAATTGTGAGCACAAACTCAGCTGCCGACTACCATGAGAACCAATTTTCCAGAAAGACCATTAACACTTATATTTACCTAAAAATTTCACTAGTAATGGTGAACAAAAGTACCGACATGCAGATGTACAATGACAGCAAGCAACAAAGCAAAAATCTTTCAGTTTACTACATAAAAACTACCATGGTTTTTTATAATTTTTTTGACTTACTGGAATGAAAGAACTGAATGAAATATGGAAAGTTTACGAATAAATACGTCCCAAATAAACATACGGAAGAATCAGTAAATTTTCCCGTAACAGAGCGAATCCCGACATCAATGTTCTTTAGCCTGCGGTCCTTGGGTGCAAAAATACGAGTAAATATCTATTCTCTAAAGCTAATCTATCTTATCTTCCAGCGCAAGACAAAATGAACGACTTACTGAACGCGAATGCTCAATACAGACACTTTTTGGAGTACTAACAAAGACAAATGACGTAAAATATAAGAGAAACGAATCACTCTTTATAATATAAGACTAAGGAGAGGTATTGCCTACAATCTCTCGCAACAAAACTGTTCTGCTAGACGTTTGCATTTCACCAATTCGTGACACAAGGCATTGTACAAAACCGTGTAAGTGGCTTTTCTGCCCTCTTTTTGTTTCCAAGCCAGTAACATTTCAAAAGCCTTCGCTGCCAGTCCCTTATTGGCTTCATCCAAGTTAGCTATTGCAGCTTGACTGAATTCCAGGCGTCTTCCTAATGTCTTCCATTTTCCTTCAAGTTCCAGAGACAGATATTCCAACTCCTCATCTGATGGTTCACCATCTTTAACCACATAGATATCTGAGGATAACAACGGAGGGAGAATAAAAAATTAGAAAATGAGTGCTTCAAGGCTTTGGCGAATAGCGAACAGTTCTGGCGAAAGGGGACTTCTCTTTTTGGTATCATTCAATACCGAAAAAGGATGTCTAATAAATATAATGCCAGTCTCTCTGCATAAACAAATTTCACAATACATAAACGTGTAAAAGTAATATGCAAACTTGATAAAAACACAATAAAAAGGAAAATTTATGGCAACATTTTCAATCTCGGTATCTTAAATAATTCAAAATTGATCGATAAAAATCGGTAAAATTTTTCGCACGTGCAAACAAGTATGCGGATCGGATTTCAAAGTGAATATGCAAATTTTCAGCGTGTGGAGAGATCTGAAGTTAAAAAGAAATAAGAAGCAAGACGAAACTGGCCAAGGAACGTTTCGGAAGAAAGCGTTATTCAAAACAGTTGTTGATTTTCTGTTAGAAGCGTAAAACGTGCGAATTTCTTACGAGTACGAAAACTACGAAGTAGAATCATCATGCTTAAATCGTTGTTTACTTGACTTCACGGCTGGAATATTGCGCAGCGTTATGTTGAAAATACTGAAAGGTCTACGTTTTGACACAAAATATTCCATTAAACAACACTTTTTGGACATGTCATCACTTAAACATGATATTTGCCGGGCCATGGAATCTTCATAATGTCGCTAAGCCTCGCTTGAAAGTTCAGTTTCCACTTTACGGCCCCGATTCGCACAGCTTCAGGGAATCGTAGTTTTTTTTTTTTTTTTTTTTTTTTTTAAATCTTTTGACAGGGAGCCCACGTCACAAAGTGTGGTTTTCAGTGAGGCCCTGCATAAATCTAACGTAAGGATAACAGAAAATATAAATATGGTTATCAAGAATAGGATAAAAGGGTATAATCAATAGAAGAGACTACATGTTCTTAACAAGACGTCTAAAAACTGAAAAATCGGAAATGTTCCTAATGCCGTCTGGGAGAGCGTTCCAGTCATCTACTGCATGACAAACAAACCGATGCTGACCCCATGTACGCTTTGATTGTGGTTTACAAATGTTGTTATTAAAACGAGTGTTATAATCATGTACATCTTTAAAATGATTAAAATTAAAATTCCAATCAATTAGTCCATTCAAGGACTTAAAAACCAAAAATAGACGATGTGATCTTCGCCTTTTTTTTTTTTATTGTTGACTCGAAAACTTATTTTGTCGCTTTTAAGACCTTGACATCCATTATTTTCCTGGCAATTTAATCTACAGCATTTCTAATTTTCATTCTGTGTTCCAAAAGTTCTAAAACGATCGGAAAGGAACAGAAAATCCGAATTGGAAATATTGAAAGTCTGCCGCGCGGATGCCATTTTTTCATATTTGATCATTTCTTGTGAACGCATAAAATGAAGCCTTTCTAGTACCCCCCATAGTCGTCAAAATAACTGCGCAAAACACGGATTCTGATCGGTTTATAGATCCTCTGACAACAGGGGAACTTTGAAGACAAAATTCTGCTTAGTAGTAGTAGGGGAGATGGGGGGAAAAGCGTCTCCCGCGCGACACGGGCGGTTCAGGTGTCAATGGATTAGAGAGTTTGAAATTTCGTATTCTAAAATGTGTGATTTTTTAATCTAAAAATCTTTAAAAATTTGAAAATTTCGAACGTTGATTTCATTAAAATAAAATTAGTTAAGAAACGAGTCGAAAATATTGTTATCAAATTAAGCAATTAAATGATACCACGCCAAGAGTTGCATACATGTAATGCGGCCATCAATTCAAGCGTTCAAATGCCCTTTCCACTTTTTTTTGTCAAAAGGTAAAATCAGCAACTGTGACTTTCTACAAATTGATCAGACATAAAAACCTAGGCCTTGTAGACCTTTTCTTCCCAACCATTCTCTGACGAAAGTGAACTGTTTACCTTAAACAACTCCAAATTTAAGGATATGGCACTAACTTGCATTTCACTGGAAAGTCTTAACACTTCTGGTTCAAATTCCCCACCTCAGCCGGGCAGTACAGAAAAGCGGGGGGTTCTGCTAAGAACAGAGTTGTTTACCATTTCACCAGAGAAACCAGTTGGATGACAGTTGAGGTAAATGAGGTGCACGAAGATCCTAGTTGATGTTTCGGTATTTCACAGAAAATCTCAAAGATCCCACTTTGCCAACGAATAGTTGTGATACAAAATGGCAGGATGCCCTTGCATTACTGTATGAATTTTTGAATTTGGGAGACAATAACACTAAGTAGAAGAACCCTAATGCTGCTGATCTTAAAAGAGAGAGATTGGTTGATAACCATTTGATTTGTGTGATGCAGAATAAAGCAATGGACAGAGCACCTCATAGGTACCAATAACAGAGACGAGAATATTTAAAACGTCAGACAATTGAAAATTTTGTTTACTGCCTTTTAAGTTACCTGCCACCTGGCCACCACTTTCTGCAAACAAAAACAAAAGAGTAATTATGCCCAGTATTGTCATGATATTGATAAACCATCCATTTTTGTCGTTCTTCGATTAAGGTAAAGGGAGGGGGGTGGTTGGGGCTCTTGTATGATATGTTGACCTAGCTCACAAACTTTCCAGCTAAAATCAAACAATTTGAAAAGAAATTAAGAAAGGCCACATAATGCAAGATGTGTGCAGAGAGAGGAGAGTAGATAAGGAACTAGTAACTTTGAAGGGGACAATTTAGTTCTAGTAAATGTTTCAGTTATAAAACTTTTATCAATGTGGGCCTTCTTAAAACATAAATTTCTTATTTAGTTGAATTTTGCAATTGACAAATCGAGATTAGTTTGTTACACCCATCTTGATCTTATGTCAGAGTCTTCTCACCAAAACTGATAGTAATCTGCTGCATTGTTGTCTAAACATGACTGTGGTCGAAGCTTGCATAATTTTAATTGTGTCAATTATGTCAAATTTTGGTCGTGATTGAAAATGCCCGTCAGCCATCAGTTTAGTATTTAGTCAAGTTGTTCTGTTTGCTATCAAGATTAGTAATCAAAAATAGTCCCAATTGCTCGTCAACAACACAGCTAAAGCAAAGCCTAGACTAGGTTTCTTTTCAATTGCTTAAAGTATTACAGACAGGATGTCAAAGTTATGAAAGAGAAAAGAATTTCTTCAAAGCCTTGGCATTTTGCAAAACTTCCATAGTTCAATCATGTTCTATGACATCTGAATCACTAATTATTAGCATTCACCAACCAGCCTTATTCTTTGCATAAGAGTTTTTTGACAGTTATAATAAACCCTTTACACCCTAATATCAATATGCATATTCTCCATACTTTCTCTAAACTTTTCTTAGGGTTCTGAAAAAGAGAATTTGTTTAACAATCAAGAGCTTCTTTAGCTGTTGATCATTTCCCTTATTATCATGACCTTAATGTTTGAATCAGGGGTGATCTTGTAAGGAGAAAATAGACGCCAGTCACTCTTAGGTGTTAAAGGGTTAAATGACATATGTTTTAAAGTTTACTCACCTTGAACAGACTTTGTTTGTTCATTCCCATCAGTTGTTTTACTCCTTACAGAGGTGTTTGGAGCCTCTTCTGTGGAGAAAGAAAAGAAATATCGCATTAAGGAATGCTACCTTGCTACCTGCAAACAGACTTTCGTTTAGAAGACAAGAAAAAATTAGAAATGCTGGATGTCTTAACGTCCGTTGTGTTCTCTCACTTCCACATTGTTTCAATGTTACTTTCTGTCCTTAAAATCAATCTTGCCCCCTTTTTTCAAGAGGAGGCTTTAAATGACAATGTTAGGAGAAATTACATATTGATAAAGTTCTACAGGTATTTCCATACATTTCCTTATAAGTTGAAAGTAAAGCAGAAACAGCTACAGAAGTTCAACATACACTAAATAGCTTCATCTCAATCAGCAATTACACACAGGTCTTTGCTTTTCCAAATTTAATAGTTTTAGAAACATAACTCTCTTATTGCATGATTGACAAATTGAGATTAGTTTGTTGCACCCATCTTGATCTTATGTTAGAGGCTTTTCAACAGAACTGATAGTAATACACTGTATTGATGTTTAAATGTGTGGTCAAAGCATGGTAGATATCAATTGTGTTCATTGTGTCAAGTTTTGGTTGTGATTGAAAATGCCTGTCAGCTGTCACTTTAGTATTCATTCATGTTGTTCTGTTTGCTCTCAGGATTAATAATCAAAAATAGTCCTGGCTGCTCATTAACAACACAGCTAAAGCAAAGCCTGGACTTGGTTTGTTTTCAGTAGCTCAAACTGTTACAGACAGGATATGAAAGTTATGCTACTGAAAAGAATTTCTTCATAGCCTTGGAACTTTGGAAAACTTTTGTAGTTCAATCATTTCCTATGACATCTGAATCACTAATTTGCAGTATTCACCTACTGGCCCTATTCCTTGTATTAGAGTTTATTGACAGTTATAATTAAATGACATGACTTGTAAGTTTACTCACTTCGGAAATACTTTGTTTGTCCATTCCCATCGGTTTTTTTTCTCTTTAAAGAAACATTTGGAGCTTTTTCTGTGGAGAAAGGAGAGAAATGTCACATTATGGAATGCCAGCTAGTATGGAAACCTGTGAGAAGACTTCCATTTAGAAGACAAGAAAAAAGTTGAAATGATGGATGTCTTAACGTCCGTTGTGCTCTCTCACTTCCACATTGTTTCAATGTCACTCTCCTTAAAATCAATTTTGCCCCCTTTTTGCAAGAGGAGGCTTTAAATGACATAAGAACTTTTGAAATGAAAGAAGAACTTTGTCTGTAGCATATTTGATTCATTCATTTGTTCTCACAATTTTCTTGACAGTTACATTCTTATCGTAATTTATTCCTGAATGTAACATGGAATGTAAAGTTTATTCACCTGGTACACACTCATTTCTTAAAGTTGTGGCTGAAAAGAGGGGTGCTTATTGGAAGGAATTTACTTAAGATGCTGGGTGTTAAGTAAGGAACTATGAACTGTTCTAATTTTGCTGTAGCTGAAGCTTAAAAAAGTTATAAATAAAGTGGTACTTGAATCAGGTTTTATTTTTATTAGGGAAAGTAAGAAAGAGGGGGAAGGTGATTGTTCAATGGGGGGGCAAGGGAAGAAAGAGTTTTTATTTGAATTATTGGCCTAAGGGGAGGGCTTCTTAGAGCATGGAGTATGGGCACTTATACAAGGAAAGACAAAAGTATATCATAGAGTTAGACTGGAAGATGCTGATAGTCCTATTGTTGCTGCAATGAAAAACTTATTTACCAATTTTTTTTAAATTCTTCCATGAATTTTTCAGTGTCATACCTGATTTACTGATTTCTTCCTCACAATTCTCCTGATGGCTGAAGTCTAATTTCATTATTCCTAAATGTAAATGCAATGTAATATTTACTGACCTGGTATAGACTCTCCTTGTTTCTTCCTCTCTGTTTCTTCACAGTCTAGAGAGCTGTGCAGAGCTTGACCTACAAGCAGTAAAGAGAAAAAAGAATTTATCTGAGCATTCCAGCCAAAGCTCCCTGAAAAGTGTCATAAATTAACTCAGAGTACCCCCCTAGCAGGAGAATTAAAGTTAAAGCTACTGTACTGTACTACCAAATGTTTCAGTTACTAATAAAATAATATTACTGAGTCTAAAAACAGACACCAACCAAGTTGACCATGCTTGTTCAACTTTCAACAGTACCTGCTTTATGTCTTAAGTAAAATAACTACAGAAAGTATTTCCCATGCAAATGCACTTTACCGAGTACATATTTAAAAAACTCTGCGACACTGTTCCTAACCTTTTGGGTAAGATTATTATATAGCAATTATCTTTACCTTTCCTGAGTATTTACCATTTTTGATTATTTACTTGATTCAGGTCTATAAAGAATTTATGATTATTGTAGGTCCTAGTTGACTGAAGGCTGATTCAACTTTTTACCAGACTACCTGTTTTATCAGTTATTAGATCATTTAAAAGCTGAAACATTTATATTTAAGTAAATTTACCAAAGACAAGGTTCTTCATCTTTATCACAAGACTCTTACAAGGCTCCTCCCAGCTGTACTTCTCCAAGTACTTTTCACGTAGAAATCTTGACTCTGAAAGTCGCACATCTCTCTCTTTCTGACGGACACGCTTGATTTCTTTGGCCCAGTCTTTAGGATCTTCAGAGTCTACCACACTCTGTGAGCCTAGAGTGACTTTCTTCAGAGCTTCTCCGAGTCCTGAATTACCACTGACAAGTACAGGCAGACCAGCAGATAACGCTTCCAGAGCCATTATTCCAAAACCTTCTGTCCTGGATGGCATTATTGCAAGATCCATTTCACAGAATAAGTTTGCCAGCACTTCTCTGTCATCATCAAAGCTGCGAACAATAAGCTGATTATGACTAATGCCATCATGGAGCAACTTTTCTGCCACAATATCTGCTTTTCCTCCAGCTGCACAGACAAACTTGAGTTTGTAAGATTCATCTTTCAACTCAGCAATTGCTTTGGCAGCTATGTCGTACCCTTTGACATTGAAATCTCCACAGTTGTCACCACTTCCAATTACAAGAATACAGAATGTTCTTCTTTCTTCAGTGGCTTGCTTTACAGCCAAAAATTCAGAGAAAATGCTTGGAGTAAGGTCAAAAACTTTTTCTTCCTGTTTAACTGGACGAAGGTAACGCTTGTAAGCTTCTGCCAGCTTGAGTCCAATTGTGATAACCTGATCAGCCATTTTACAGAGTTGGATTTCTGTTTCTTGCATCTGTTCACCTTCTGAAATGTTTTTGTACATTCCATCTTCTTCAGGAGCAGAGTGAACAACTTGAATCCATTTGCAATGACTGTAATTTGGATTTCTCTTGATGATTGCAATTGGTCGGCCAAGGTGAACTCCATGACCAATGACACAGTCCATTGTATGGTCTCTTGGAGGAAATGACAGGCAAAGAACTGGGTCATAACCAGGAACTCTATCTGCTTTGATGAGCTTCACTTTGTGACTTTCTGCACTGCTCCTGTCCACTTCACTGCAATTTGGAAGCAAGACACTAACATCCACATTATGGTGTTTAGCTAACTGGATCGCCAGCTCTCGGTTGATAGTTGACAAGTCCCCATTAGTTGATGATTTCCACTCACTACTTAGCAACGTGACTTTCAGTGTCATGTTTTCCTGGTCTTCCTGCGACACACAGGCCACACTTGGAATCATGAAATCCTACAACAACAAACAAGAATGGTATTGACAATAAGCTGTAAAACAATATTAAATCACAATAATGCATGTCCACTTGGTATGTAATGTCAATTCGTTTCTAAAACTGCAGTTAAGTTTTATCCTTTGCCAAAAAGTCAGGTACATGTAGATTGAGACAAATTTAAACCAGGAAAATATTAAGTTACTTTAGAGATGACTACACTGTCACTGTCACTGTCACTGTCACTGATAACAACCATTACAGTTACAAGGAATTAAATTTGAAAGTAAAAGTTATCCTTAAAGGGTCTTTCTTTTCAACTCACTTTGTAATTGGTACATGACTTTTTTAGTCACACTGAAAAGATTTAGGTGAAAAAGAAAACAAGGGGCAAATTAATGTTTTTGTCAAAAAAAAAGCTTGGTATTTGTAATAGATTTAGATTTCTCTTCCTACCTTCTGTAGCATTGACATCACAGGTAGCTTTTAATTCTGAAAAATTACCCTGGAAAAAAAAAAAATACAAAATGTGAGTTTACTGAGTCCAATTAGGCTTTCTATTTCCTCTTAGAGTGTTGTTGAGGCCACTTAAGGCAGTACTGGAGGCTAATTTGACCTTTTGGAGAAGCTTTAATTTAAGATCATTGTTTCAATTGCCTATTTGCACAATTTGACAATTGGAAAATGGCCCATTTTTGAAATGAGAAGTTGTTTCCAAGGACAAACCTTGCTGCAAATAGAGATAAGATCCTGGTCTAATGGTGTTTGCCATTCTTGTTGTATTTCCTTCAGATGACATTTCTGACACATCCATTTCATAAGGAACCATTTCATAATGAAAAATAAAGTACTATGATCTTACCATGGATGGAACTCAGAAAAGAGATTAACAGTAGCTAACTATTTAGTCACTTTCCAAGCAACAAAGACACATTTATTTTTGCTAGCCTTTTTATTCAAAGAATTTTCCCTCATATTTCCAATTTTCAGAAAGCATCACAACCATAAAGCAGCCAATAACCACACCTTTAATTTTGTCACACCATGTTAAATTGAAAGTTGCTATTAACAAATTCCCACACCATATCATATTTTTGTGGTTCCTATTGCCACTTTTTGCAAATTAATTGCCTCTCCAACTGTATTATCTCAAGAAGGTTAGTACTTTGATCAGAATCTATGCAAACTAAAACTTTGTATGACAAAGAACATTTACAGCACAGTATACCACTGTCTGCCAAAAACAAATGACAAGGTATGAGATAATTAAATTGTCAAAATTGAATATTACTTAGCAGACTGCACTGAAAATCTTTATTACCATCAGCTTTTTGTCTGTGCCAAACCATTGAGTGGTATTAATTAAAAATGGCTTGGATTTAGAGATTTTTTTCCTCCACGATGACTTTTCAAACACACCCCCTAATTCCATTAAATTTCACTAATATCCATGGCACTGAGCAAAATACAATTTTTCTCTTCAGATTATATGTAGAATCATGTATCCCATGTGATAATTTCAAGTCATTCTAACAAATCCGTCTGTAGTTATTTCATAAATGATTTGAAACAAAATTCACTCAATTTAGCGTCCAATACCACCTTAATTTGGTGTTGAAAATGTACCTTAACCCATTAGCACCTACGTGTAAAGCGTGCCTATCCAAAAGTTAAAATTTTGGAGAAACCGGAAAAGCAAACACAATGCGCAGTAAATATTTATAAATCAGCATTTCCCAAAACCAAGCTCCAATGAAAGAAGACCATTTAAATAACTTACTTTCAATGAAAAAAGCGACAAATTCTAATTAAGTTTTTACACTAAAAATCGCTAAAATTTTCCGCACGTGTGTAAACAAGTTATGCGGATCCGGATTGTAAAGTGAATATGCAAATTTGGCAGATATGTTAAATGGAATTTGTAAATAAGCAAGACGAAACTGACCAAGGAACGTTTCGGGAAGAAAGCTTTCTTCAAAACAGTTGTAAATTTTCCGTTAGAAGCGAAAAAAGTACGAATTTCTTACGAGTACGAAACCCACGAAGTAGAGTTCATCGTGGTTAGCTCGTTGTTTACTATAGACGTCACGGCTAGTAAATTGCGCAGCGTTATGTTGAAAATTCTGAGAGTTCTACGTTTTGACAAAAAAATATTCGATTAAACAGTACTTTTTGGTCATCTCAGTACTTAAACATGATATTTACCGAACCCTGGAATCTTCATAATATCGCTAGGTCTCGCTTGAAGTCCGAAAAGTTCGGTTCTACTTTACAGCCTCAATTCGCATCGCTTCAGAGAATCGCAGTATTGTCGACTCGAAAGCTTATTTTGTCGCTTTTAAGACCTTGATATCCATTATTTTCGAAGCAGATTATTCTATAGCATTTTTAGCTTTTATTTTTGTGTTCCAGAAGGTCTAAAATAATCGGAAAGTAACGGAAAATCCGACTTGAAAATATTGACAGTCGGCCGCGCGGGAATCTGAGATTTCAAATTTGCATGTTTTCTCACGATAGCTTAAAGACAACCCACATGTACACATTTGAAGATAACAAGAGGATCTTTATATCTGAAAGTGGCATCGAACAGGTCCTGAAACGTACAGAAATAGTAATTCGTCAATCGAATACCTTTGATTTCTGAAGCACGTATAAACACGTGTTGCTGATTATTGCTTCTGGTTTCCACTGCTAAAAGCTTCTAAAAGGTATGACTACAACTTAGCCGGTGAACCAATCACTCGAGGACATGATTACGAGCTGGATATATATGGAACTTAACCAATGATTGATGCAAACTCTCCCTCGGTTGGAAGTCAGCTCAGTCTTCCGCACTGACTGAGAGAGAAAATATTGCTATGGGTGGGTGTGTAATTCTCGATTAATTTAGTCACGTGATTAATTTACCAGCAATGATGCAGTCAGTGGAATGCGGGACGGTGGATTAAAGAGTAGGCCTGACAACGTCCTTTGGGGGTTAATGGGTACGATACTGGAATGCGATTAAATGATAACCCATAGATACCAACACTCATTCGATAATATTACAACAAAATGAAACGGACAATTCGTTTTTATTAGAGAGAATTACTAATAAAATTGGGAGTTATAATTTGGTTATCTGTTATATACTGCATTCTGAGGGTAATTTCCTCATTTCGTACGTCTTTCAATTTTTTCTAAAATATCTAGGAAACTGGGGGTAAAAAAAACAACCCTTTTGGCCTGTTATAGCTCAATAAGAAACTTTGAATCTACTTTTTACCTTCCAACCTGATGACACAACACATCACTCTATACTTAAGGAGAGGTTGGCTGCTAAAACAAAGTCTTTCCTCAAGAAACTGATAAAGCTTCAGGTTTTAGGGAAGCATAAACATCACACTAAATTCTGGTAGTTCTACAGTTGGCTTTCTTTCCCAGCTCTTGAAATAAAAGAGTCATTCTTGATTCTTACCAAAGCCAAATCTTTTTCCTAAATAACAAACCCTTTACAGTACATATTAAATCGGTGCTGCAAGGTGGTTCATCTCTTTATTATTCATACCCTTTTATATCTCTGATAACCTTTCTAACTGATGTTTTAAGTAAAGTTTCATTTCCAAAATTTGACATCAACTTGTTGCTACTTCACGACTAACATTATCAAAAGCTGACTTACTTTAAAACCTTGAAATCACTTTCTAAGAATATGGCTTTTTAATTTTTAAACTAAATCCAAACATTTAACAGATCTGCATGTGGCAGAATCAATACATTATATGTACAAAATTCTTGAATTTAATTTCATACAAGTAATACAAAAAAAATGCTGAAATACACATTCAAATAAATTTATAAGTTAATAGATGAGAAATGATTGAAAAAAAAAACCCTCTCTTTCTCCAAAAAAGTGGTGCTGGCAAACTATCTTCTTTCCCACTTGTGATCAAAATCGTTTGTTGAAAGAAAGAACAGACTCCAACGAGACTTCTTTCCAAGCAACTTGCAATGAACGTGAAACTAAATTATGTTAAGATATAAGCAGAAAATAAACTTATAGGTCACCAAATCAAGTTTGATTCATTTCCAAATGAAATAAGAATGGAAATGGGTAGACCATAAAACTAAACACCACAACTGACAGAGGCTTGTTTTGGGACCAGACAGTTTACTAGATGTATATATCCTACGTAAATAACACACTAGACTATTACATAACAAATTTATAGGACGAATACACTAAACCTACGGTCCAAACCCAGAAAAGGAGGAGTGGAAGTGTTAGTTAGTGTGAGGGTGTAGTGGGTTATGTCGTAGGATGGCTCTACAAAGCATGTTAGCGGAATGAAGGCGAACTGTTAAAGGTATGGTTAAATAGATGAGAATGGTTTCGGGGCGCCAATCGCCGAGAGCCTTAGTTGGGAACACCAGATTGGTAAGCAAATCATTCCCCACCCCTGCGAAAGGAGTGCCCCGCGAAAAGCTAAGGGTCAAAACTGAGCGATGTAGCATGAGTGCGCAGAAAAGAAACAAAAGATCCATAGGAAAAAACTTGAACAGGCTGGCGGTCGTCCGACCAGTTAAATGCCTGAGAGCACGTGCTAGAACCCGAGGCCGTAAAGCGAAGCGCGTTGACGATGGCTGCAGTTGGACATAACGGAGCGCGCGGAATGCGGGGAAGTAGGATTTCTACAACGTGCTCATGAAACTGAATGGTCTTACTCCAGCGAATATTAATGAGAGCCCCCCAGGAGAAGATTTTAAAATCAGCCTTAGTTAGTTGCTTACGCGGGTCAAAGGAGGTCGGCGACATGGGTAAAAGGTGGGATTTCCGAAACATGTCATAGAAGGCAACCAAACAAATAGCCCAGAACGAAGCCTCGATGCTACTTTCCAAATTAAGCCGATCATGGTGCTGTAAGAGCATAGAGGACTAGATGGGGTGTTTCTGGCTCTTCGTTAGCCCTAGGAAAGCGGCGTATGGAATCAGTTGATCAGGCTGAACTGGGACCGGAGTGTAACCCGTGTAGAGGCAGAACCTCACGTAGGTGTCGCGATGAGTTTTGAGAGGCCAACCGTGGGTCGTGTGCACTTAGAAAACACGAAGGAGTGATCATGAGACGACATGTGATCAGTCAGCGCCAAATTGGCTGCCGCAGTGCAACCTAAGCGTCCCCAGTTACGACGGAATAAAAGGATAACAGATGAGGGTGCTCATGAAGGCACGAAGCCGAGTCAGTGGTAGTGTTACGAGACCCTCGAGATAAGTGGCAGTTACATGAAAATTGTGGAGCGCAGAAAGCCATAAAAGCGCACGGAGCTCCTGCGTAATGATTTCGTCGCTCGTGGTACCCTTATTGATGATCTGCACGGTCGCCTGGTTATCACTGTAAATAATAACTAGATGGTTTGCCCAGAGGTGACCCCATCGCTGAGCAACAGAAAGTGGTTGTAGGCAAGACCATGCTGGGTGGTCAAGTAAGGGGAATATATATAACGGCGTAATGCAGTTTACATACTGTAAGATTTTACACCACTATCTGCGTCGGTAGATTAATTATAATTCATTTATATATAATCAAATTATATTACTGGCGTGAAATTTACATATTTCACTCTATTTACTATAAGATTTTACGACAGTAACTAACGGCGTAATTCTATTTAGTCTGTAATGTATATATGTAAGATTTTACGCCGGTAACTTGCGGTGTAATTTCTTCCAAACGGTAGTTATAATACGCAAGATTCTAAGCCAGTACCTAACGGTGTAAATTTTTCCAGTTGGTATATATCTATATATATACGGAGAGATTTTACGCCGTTAGTCAATGGCTTAAAATCTTACAGTATGAACACCGACGCAGACAGTGGCGTAAAATCGCACAGTCTATAGACTGTGTTAGTCACACATTACACCGTTATCTATATATTGCTCTGCACGCCCATTTTAATTTACCTGCCGGTCGCTGCAATTGATTTTTGGAAGTGTGCTCTTTACGGAAACTAGAAACTATGGTCTGGCATTCGTAGAGTTTCTCCTGTTGGAACGCCGTGCTACACGAGACTGTATCCAGTTCACCTAGAAAGGTTAATGCGCGAGTATGTGGCATGAGTTTACGCTGACTGATAGCAACAACTTAAATCCTGCAGCAACTTTAAAGTTTGTCGTCTTTTATGCAAGAAACTAGAAACTATGGTTTGGCATTCGTGAATTTCTCCTGTGGGAGCGCCGTGCTACACGAGACTGTATCCAGGTCAACGCCCAGAAAAGTTAATGTGCAGGTAGGTGGCATGAGTTTACGCTGACTGATAGTAAAACCTAAATCCTGCAGCAATTATAGCAATTACGACTTCATAGGCATGGGTGCATTCCGCTTGCGTAGCACCAATGACAAGAAAATTGTCGAGATAAACGATAATGTTCACAAAACCTCTCTTCCCCATCACGCGTCGAACAGCCTGTGTTAGACGATGAAAGATTTCAGGAGAGCTTTCAGCACCAAATGGAAGGCGGGTGTCATAAAAAAAACTGTCAAAATCTTTCCACGAAAACCGCCACTTGCAGCCTGTAGCCTGATAATTTGCGGGGTGGGTGGGTCGCTACCGGTAAGCATGTTTGAGATCTATTCTAGCCATGAAATAATTAGGTTTTAAGAGCTTGATAGCGTCATCTAGTCAATGAAATTTAAAATGCTGCGTGCTGATAAACTCATTGACCGCATGCCCATACGGTCGAGAGCAGTCATGGATAAGCCGTACCTCGGAAGAGTTCGGTTTGAGAATCGCTCCTGAAGCGCTTACCACCGTAGGTTTCGTAGCCGTAATCACCTAGTTTCCTTGCTGAATTTCGTTGCGAATGGTTTTTTCCACCAACAGTTTAAAGGTGGGATTAGTAGCCGATTTATAATTGCGCATATTTACTTCGGTGAATTGCGTATTAGGGTCCACCAATTGAAAGCCGTTGATAATGCTATCTGCCAAAAACGCCTCGTCCTCGTCCCCCGCGAGTTCTTGCAGCCATAGCTTTGTGTTAAGCGGTGAACTTAGGAGCGCTAGTCAATTTTGCGTGGCCGGTTTAATTTGCTGTTGCAATGAAGATTGCGCAACATGAACGAAACCTGAGTGGTTAACACCGCAAGCTTTTCCTACTGACACGCGGCGACTGCATACGTGTTCGTATGTACAATTGTGAATGCTTCAGCCCCTTGAACTGCTAAAGTTGCGGCAAAAATAACTCGCCCATCACTAGTGAAGGGTACGAATTGTGCGGTTAAAAGACCTGAAAGTAGGGGAGGTTTTGGTAGAAATAAGTTCTAAAATAATGGAGTGGAGGTGATTAAAGCCGAAACTCCACGGATAATTATATGTCGCCTGAACGAGGCGAAACTCGTCATCGTACTTGAGTACCGATACCCACTGGTAACGGTTTGAAAGTTCCATCGTATAAGCAAGATAGTTCTGTACATCGTGTGGCGTACTTAGTTTGTTACTGGTTAGAAAATTATAAAAAATCCTAGCATCTCCAACCACCCACTGCCAATTGAAACTTACTCTAAATGGGGTTTTTTTAGGCTATACGACACTACTAATTTGGTGTTTCCACCGCATGCTATGTTTCGTTCGTAGATCTCAAATAGTGTATGACTTAGTAAACCAATACTTTTGGTATTTACTATATTTGACGTCATCGTAACCCCTTTTAATAGCTCAGAAACAACACTTGAACGTTTATGTCACATGTATAGATGTATTAAATTATTTTTGTACCGTGCCAGTGTGTTCTGTAATTTGTTTCATCAATGTTTTTTTTCTTCTCTTGCCGAGCGGGCAATTTATGGAAGGGGAACCTGATAATGGTTTTTGCAAGTTATTTGCAGTCCTATGCCTGAATTGTTTTTGAGCAAAGGGGGCAAGTTTCTAAAGAAGCTGTAGCGCTGTGTCAGTGGGAGAGTATAGCAGAGTAATGTAGTATTATCAACTGAATTAATAACATAAACTGGCCACCGTAAAGAGTAACAGCTGACGTTTCGAGCGTTAGCCCTTTGTCTATCGCTCTGGCGAAGGGCCAACGCTCGAAACTTCAGTTATTAAACTCTCTACGGTGGCCAATTTACGTCAACAACACAGTTGATAGTACCAAATTACCAAGTTTTTGAGTAGCCTACTTAGATATCCAAAGTCCAGTATGTTAAACTAGTATGCAAACACAGTAACTAACTTGTCTACTTCAGTGGTTAGCTAAATTATGCCAAAACTTAAGCTAACACAATCGTCAAAGGCTCACTTATTGTGAACATGAGCTGAGGACGGGGAAGGGTTAACAACTTCACTCTTATGAACGCAGTTCTTGAATCCTTCGAATGTGTTTTGTTCGTTTGTTTGTTCGACACCGTTTATTATTTATCACCTGGGAGGGGGGGGGATGGGTGGGGTCGGAGCATTTTATTTGAGTCAGAATGAAACTTACCTGACCCCCCCCCTCCCTTATTGGCATACCCCCCCCATGTACTCTGTTAGCGACAAGTTATCCAACCTCCCTTCCCCTAGAAAACCGAAACATTCCTCCCCTCAAAAAAATCCCCCCTCCCCATAGACGATACAGAACTTCTGTTCCCTTTACCTTTCCCCCTTCTCCTTATTTTATCCAAACAGGAATATTTCATTTCTACTTTCCCAGACGCTAGAAATATCAAAGTCGTTCCCATTAACAAACACCTTCTTTTGCTCGGTGATATAAAATTTTATTGACTAATGTTATAACCTCGCTTACAAAGGTTACCTAAAGATTTATTATAGTTAGATTTTATTATTATATAGGAGTCACCGTAATGTTATCATTTCTTATTAAATGTCACTAATTCGAGTGACATTTGGTGTCAATATCCTCGTTTTCTTTTCTTTTTTTTTAAATCAAGATAATAGCACGACTTTTTGAAAATTACGAGTGCTCACTCATTCCAAATTACCTGCGAAAAATCACTTCTAATTCATTTATAAATGATCTAATTTTCCAGATACCTTCACCTGATAACAGAGGCAAAGAAGAGGTAAAACACGCTCAAAAATCATATAACCAAACCTTGCAAGCATCATTGTGCGTTCGGTCAAATCAACGTGTCAAGTCAAAGGGGAAAATTTTCGGCACGCCTTTCTTTTTAAGCCATTAAACAGTTCGTTATCGTTTTTCACTGAATTAACAGTGTTCTGCACTGTAATAGCTCTCTTCTGCATTGGTGTTACATAAAAACTGTATTGCAACCAATCAGAATGCAGAAATTTCTTCATGTATTCTGTGAACAGGTTTCCTTGAAAAATGAGATATTCTTAACAGCGATCGTGTTAAAAGTAAAGGGTATGTTTTATTATATAAAATAGTATTTCAAAAATAAATCTGAAGTGCAAAATACACTGGCTAAGCTTCAGAATTCAAACTTCATATTTTCAAACCTTGCAAAATATTCCAACCTCGATTCTAGCTTGGCACAAAAGTAATCGAAGGCATTTTCAGCTAAGACATAACCTTGCTCAACGAAATGCCATTTACGTTCATATTTCTAACTTTTGCATAAAACTACACAACTGTTACATTACACTTCTATGTTCTATAATAAAAAATGTTATATGATCAAAAAAACAACCCATTTACTTGTGAAAAATATACAAAATCAAATGAATTTTAAAACGTCTCAAACAAACAAATGAAGAGGCCGGTAACACTGCAGAAACTTACTCTTCTGTCTTTGAAATCAGTGCGTTCTTGTAAAAAAAAAACACCCTTTTACTTGTGAAATATATACAAAATCATATCAATTTTAAAAACGTTTAACTAAATAAAAATAAAATCACTGGTAATATTGTACAGACATACACTTCAGAGTGGGTTCATTTTCCAAACTCTCCAACACTGACAGCTTTTCCTTTATAGAGCAAGCCAAAGGAGAACATCAATTATTCACGACTCCACGCAAACTGCAACCAAAGAGACAAAAACCAATGAGTATTTAAAGGAGAGAAATGAAGATACCTACGACAGCAGATCAAGAACACGCTGCACTGGTTCATACCGTCTCATATCACAGGCAGCCCAGCACTAATACCGCAAAATACCATTCATTCGGATTATTCCTTTGTTTTAAGCTTATGGCTGTGCTCTGACAAAGTCTGTCCACATGCGACCGACTTTCGCGACTTGTACAACTTTGATTTCATGAAAGCTTTCAAAAGCTGGGTAACCAAATTCTGAGAAAAATGCCTTCATGCACACTGTGATTGAAATCAATCAGCTTGATGGGACTAAATCGTTACGTTCAGCAAACACGCTATAGGAAGACCAAGTTCAAGAGGTAAGAAGCTATTCAATGGGATAAATGTCATAGTGCATGACCTTTAAACACTGCACGTGGATCTATATTGAGTTGGAAAAATCCTAAAATATCATACAGTCTGTTAAAAATTTACATTGGCAGAAATAGAACCTCTTGGTTTACACAACGGCTTTAAAGTTGACGCGGCAAACAAACCAACAACTTATATTTTGACATTAAAGATTTAAACGAACACAAAATAAGCTCAAGAACTTATCAGACCAACCTGAGTTAATCATTGCCAGTTGTTAGCTACGTGACTCGGCAGCAAGTCCAAGACATCTGAGTCACGTAATGAGGCATGATATAAAGAATCCTGCCCTCTGTTATCTTTTGCCAAAGGGTTGGCTCCCCGTTCCAGGAGATACTTTACACTCTGCAACTTGCCATGACAAACAGCAATGAAAAGAGGTGTTTCACCATCAGCTGTTTTTGACTCAATGTCCGGCAGGTGAGTAAGGATAAGATCAACGGTATCAGGGTCACCACTTCGTGCTGCAAAATGTAGTATATCCCATCTATTGTTATCAACAGAAGTTACAGTTGCCCCCTTCTCAAGAAACCATTTCACCGCATGTAATTTGCCACATAAAGCCGCCGCCATTAGTGCTGTGCAACCCTCGCCTGTTTTTGACTCAGTGTTCGGCAAGTGAGTATGGATAAGATCAGTGATATCAGTGTCTCCGCCCAGTGCGGCCATATGTAACGAATTCCATCCCCTAATGTCTTCACAGGTTACAATTGCCCCCTTCTCAAGAAACCATTGCAATGCATGTAATTTGCTATTCACAGCAGCCACCATTAGTGGCGTCCAACCACCGCCTGTTTTTGACTCAATGTTCAACAAGTGAGTATGGATAAGATCAATGGTATCAGGGTCACTGCCCTGTGCGGCAAAATGTAATATATTCCATTCATTGCTATCAACAGAAGTTTCAGTTGCCCCCTTCTCAAGAAACCATTGCACTGCATGTAATTTGCCACACCAAGCCGCCATCATTAGTGGCGTCCAACCCTCGTCTGGTTTTGACTCAATGTTGGGCAGGTGAGTATGGGCCGGATAAGATCAATGATATCAGTGTCTCCTCCCTGTGAGGCGAAATGTAACGAATTCCATCCTTTGTTGTCCATCAGGGACGGATCCCCTCCTCCCTGAATCAAACTCTATACCACTTGAACATTGATACGCAAAGCAGCATCCATAAGCAGTGTTGTGCCTGTTGCGTCTCCGAAGTCAACAGAGAATGCGAAAGGAAGCATGGATTCAGCTTAGTGATGTTACTGTCCCCTCCAGCAGAGTGTAACTGATTCAATTTTAATTTTTTAGACAAAATCTTTGAAATTGACACTTTCGATCGCTGTTCACAGGGGTGGTCTGGCCAAAAATGATTTTTGGCTTGTGGCGAAGCAAGAAAAGAGAATTGGAGAACAACTAAACTATTTTTGAAACATGTGTCCTAAACCCCTTAAATGGGCAAAAAATAAAAGAAAACCTTTTTCCGACAGGAAGTCGAGAGGACCGCTCTTAGCGGGAGCGGCACTAAACAGTGTTTATAGCAAGAGCAATTTGACAAAGCCGTATCTTGCGTCACAAATACTGAGTAACCACTTGGCTTCAATTGCACAATCAGTCATAATTTTTGAGTCGCACTCTATTAGGCACGGTGCTCTATTCGGCATTTCCCAGACCCCAGGTAGGCGAGGTAACTCGCCTGGCTATGATCGAAAATAGCCCGAGTTTACATTCAGTCTTACAACCCCGGGATTCCGGAGTGAAGTTTCTCGAGGTTGTTGTCGCGTTTGAACTGAGGGAGTTAAGATTTCACTACGACGACGTGTGATAAAACGTTGGCATTTTGTTGATTTCAAAGTAAAAACGCGATTTAATTGCTGTCAAGGTTTCATTGGTAAGGGGACGTAAAAATCGGTGTTTAACCCTTTAACCCCTCAAAGTGACTAACATCTAATTTCTCCTGACAACATTAAGCTCGTGATAATAAATGAATAAAGGAGTTGATAAAATAAAGAAGCTCTTGATTGTTGAACAAATTCTCCTTGTCAGAACCCTTGGAAATGTCTAGGGAGTAGTATGGAGAACATGTAAAACTGGTGTTAGGGAAGAAAGGAAATTTACAGAGTTTTAAATCACACGTGTTTCACTATTATTTTGCTCCTTTGATCTCTTTCGTTTATTTTTATTACAGATTCACTCCACTAGATTACAAATAGTTATTAAATTAAATTCATCACCGCAATAAAGAGACCTTGTGAAGGAGACAACCAAAAGCGCTGACGCACCATGCTAGGGATGTCCTAAGGTGTAAGAAAAGTATATACAAATATAGAAATAAAAGTTCTAATTATCCTCAATAAAATTTAAAACATTCCTGTTAAAGGCTGCAACAATATTTTATTCTCTAATATAATTAGATAAACTATTCCAATCATTCATTAGCTTAATTCCAAGTCCCGCTGAGGAAATGGAAATCGCTAACAATAGTTATTGTTTGGTTCATAACTGGATTCCGAAAGGATTGTTGTTAATCTCCAATGAACCTTCCTTTTTTTCTTCGTAAGTGACAATGAAGAAGCCAATCAAATGAAACCTCATTTTCACTTGAGAAAACCAAGGTCGACAAACGAGGCACAACGCACCAAAAAATGTTGCAGGAACGAGAAATGGAACTGCTGGTGTGAGAGGCGAGAAGCGGGTCGCGAGATACGACAAGGCATCCAAAAAGCTAACTATGACTCTTGGACTGTCTCAATGGTTTATAGTATAGTCGTGATTGTAGGGAAACAAATCGTGGCGTATTTTGTTGTCAACTTTGTGGGGTCACACAATCTTTATCAGCGCAATGATTCCCTCACAACAGAGACCTTGTGATCTTAATCGGTGATGGAGGTGGCTTCGTCAGTGCCAGTATCGAAATTAGGCGTAGAGTGCAAAATTTTTTGGAGTGTTCCATGACGCCATGTTGAGTTATGGCTCTAAATGCTCTGAAATGCTTTTTAAAGTTGAACGTAAGGAAAATAAATTCAATCGAAATGAAACATGACATCAATTTGATATGAAAACAGCTCCGGCCTAAACTTAAGCAAAGTACCATTATTTGGAACGTTTCCAACCCACCCGGTTCAGACTGGAGTTTTGAACCCTTGAAATCTCGTTTGTCTAATTTTTACATTTTCATCGGTATAGGCATTTCAAGCCAATGCACTTCTGCAGTTTATCTCAATTATCGATTTCCTTCTAAATCTGGGAGAAAGGCACATTACTCTAAGTGCTGTTTATTCATGCATTGCTGAGATCATGGTGCTATATAGCCTAAAGCAACATTCTGATCGACAGTGTGATTTAAACCGTGATCAAATGTTCTATTTTTTCTTTCTATAGGAATTACCTCGATTTCGTTTTAAAAATATCGATATATGAAGAATACATTGAATAACTCGCTTGTTGACTGAAATTGTACATATTTCTTATTCAGTTGTACATGCAGATGGTACGTAGCAAAAAATGTTTTTGTTAGTCCATCAAAATTAATAGTAAACGCGTTCATGTTTCAAACCCCTTAAATGAAGTTTCACACTAGTGATAGTGTTTTGTTCCTAGTAGACATGTACACTTTTGCACAGTTACGATAACTTTTCACGGTGTGATGTCTTTTCTTTACGCCCCTTCGTCATTTGGGTTGTTTTTCTTTTCATGCGATTCATTGGAAAACTAACGTCAAAAAACTTCTAATTAAATCTAAGATTTTAAAGTTTCCATTAGATAAATCAGGCTGAAGAAATCTCTGGTTGGCCAATTTGCATCAATAGTCTGTATGCCTATGAAGTCATTTTTGGCCAGGCTCGTCACAAGAGCCGATTAAAGTGACTGTAGGGGCCTTCCACTTTAACCTGTAAACACGATAATCAGAACACTGTGATTAAACGGCAAGGGAGAACAACAGAGTGCATGAATTGCGTTTGATTATTGAGATGGGAGCCAGCGATGAAGCATGAAATATGAAAACCACAAACTTCATGATTTGTGTTAAATGAGCAAAGTAACAAATCGAACAACAAAAAGGGTGACTGTTTTCAACTCGGTAATGAAAAGAATATTAAGGATCCTAACTAACAAATATCACTATAAAACAGACATTACAATTAATTGGAGTAATGTAATGAGTTGTACCTTGCACGGGTTGAAGGCTGACATAGTGCAACTCATAAATAAGTCCCAGCACAAGAGGTTTGCTTTCGTCAACTGGACAATGTGGCGTAATGATTACATCATTGCTATGGGATAGACCTTTAATTAGCAATTTACTGCATAGTAACAAATTTTGTCATTGAAACGTCCTTCAAAACGGCCGTGTATATTCCAAAACGCTTCGCAAACAGCCGGAAAACAACAGGAAAGATCCATCATTCAGGGAATGACCAAAATTCTGCCATCTGATGGAGGTTTAAAGAAACTTTTTGAAACTGAAAGATTCAAATGACTAAAACTGTGGTGACTGGCTTCTTCGGACCCCACGTTAAGTAACATATGAATTTAACTGTAACCAACGTCACTGTGTGGTTTCTTAAGTGATACAGTTAACTCTATCAAGGTCCCTTTTTCACTGGGGGTTCAAGCTGGTATCAGAGCTCCAGAAAAAAGACCATCATTCCATAAAGGAGGAGTAACAGTACTCCTGATCATTTTACGCTGTGAACACAGGGATAGGTTCTGGTAGTGCTAACGATATGGCCCGTGTTATCACTAAACCTTTATCATACTCTTTCAATAACATCACGTTACCTACACTAATAGACATACCAACATCAACTTAAAAACTTCAGATGACTAAAAGAAATAAATAACACTAATTCGTCTGTCTGCATCAGAGAGTAAAAGAATATCAAATTTTTTTGCACATCTTGAGTTTGTGACTGAAGAGCGCAGGGGTATAAATGAAAACATTTCTCATAAGTAAAAAGTGCCTTACTAAGTTTTTACGAAGCATAGCTGGCCTGAAGTCAAAAGTTAAGAAAAGAAAATAGCGAGATCTCCTAGTAACCTTCCAATACCTCTTTGGGGGATGTCAATTATCATGTGTTATTAATATTTTATTACTCACTTGGACTCAATGATGAATCCACTGTTAGTTGTTCGGCTGACTTGTCAATAACTTCGACCTGCCGATCTCTGATTCTTGTGTCTCGTCTTTTAGAAGCTAAAAAGATAGAAATAAATTTTTGTTTTAATACTACAACAATCAACAACAGAATAAAGCAACTGATTACTATTTATGTTTAACATCTTTTTTATATGAGGTGTTCATGCTTTCCATCACAGTTAATTAGAGACCGAAAGCCGAGTAGCCCCCTGGAACACTTTTTGAAGGATATTCAAAACATTCTCATCATGAACTATGTCCCACATCTTCTCCACAAGACTATCACACTGTTTCTCCCAGCTAAATTTCTCTTCGTATAAACTCCTCAGTAGTTGAATATCTTGAAGTTGATTCGATCTTTCCTTCTGTCGGACACCAGCAATTGCCTTTGCCCACTCCTGAGGGTCCTCAGACTCCACCACAAATGATTTGCCTGATGGTACAGTGCACAATGCTTCACCAAATCCTGAGTTTTCACTGATAAGAATGGGAAGACCAGCAGACAACGCTTCTAATGCTGTCAGACCAAACCCCTCTGTTCTGGAGGGCATGATGTAGAGATCAACTTCACAAAATAATTCTTTCAATCTCTCTTTGCTTCTCACGAGCTTCCTCACAGTCAGCTGGTCCTTATCAATTCCACTCTTGAGTAAGTTCTTTGCAACCTCATCCTGTTTACCGTCAGGTGCACCCACGAAAATCAGATGGTAAGACCTGTCTTTCAGTTCAGCTAGTGCTCTAGCAGAGATATTGTAGCCCTTCAAGCTGAAGTCCTCTGGGTCACCACGGCCAAACGTCAGTACCTTGAACTTGTTACGCTCCTTTAGGGTTTGTTTTACATCAGAGAACTCATGGAAAGTTCCAGGAGTCAGTTGAAGGATGTCGTCCTCACTCTTGCATGAACAGAGCTGAGTGGAGAGAGCATCTGCTAGCTTTTGTCCAACTGCTAGCACAGCATCTGCCGACTTACACAACGCCACTTCAGTTAAATTCTTCTCTTCATCTTTGGAAATAGCATTTGGATAGTTTTTGTGCATTGCAAGTTCGTCGGGCACAGTATGCACCACCTGTATCCACTTGCACTGGCGCTATTTTCTAATAAGTTGAGCTTGTTTACCAAGCTTTGCTCCATGACCCAGCACTATGTCAATGTCTAGATCTCTCGGTGGGACACTCAGCCAGTCAAGGGGGTCGGCATAGCCTGGACGTCTTTGAACCTCTCTGAGGGATATATTGTGAATCCGAGCCGTTCTCCTCTCTTCTTCAGAACAGGCAAACTGGGGAACAAGGAGTGTAACATCCACTTCAGAGTGTTTGGCCAACAGAATGGCAAGCTGTCCGTTGATGGTGGACAAGCCTCCCATCGACGAACTCCACTCGGTGCCTAGGAGAGACACCTGTAATGCTGTGACAGACTTCATTGAATTGATTTCGCTCACTTCATCATGTGATCTAGCAGCTACATTTGAAGAGGACAAACTCTGAAGAAAGAAAGGTCATTAGATTATGATAATTACATGAAAAAAGAAACTTATAATGTTGTCATATAAATTTTTATTGATCAATACTTCACCACGGAAAACAAAAAGGTATAAAATTCAAAAATAACTTTATCTTAGAAATTCTCTGACCAATATCTAAAACTGAAGAGAACCTATCTCAATACTGATAACAGCCCATTTGATATTCACATTAAGTAAATTAGAGGAGCAAAGCAAAGATGAAACCGAGGCTAGTCATCTTGGCTTGAAAGATCATTGTAATCAATTATACCTGGCTTCTTCTTTTTAAGAACCATTTCTTCAGTCCACAAACTGGTGCTACCATATCCCAAGGTTTTCGCTTACAGATATCGGGCTGACCTTCATTTGCATCAATGAGGTGGAGGCAGTCCTTGTGTGTGCAAGTGGTTTTCATGTGGTCTGAGCATGCTCAACGTGTTTCTTCTGCGCCTTGATGACAGTAAGGACATGCAACACACAGCCTATACTGCAGTCCCCTCAAGTATGGTATTTCTTATGAAAAATTCTTTAGGGTGTCTTCAAGAAATTCACGAACAAGAGTTGCTAGTTCGGCGGAGTTCTGTCCTACAACCTGATGACTTTGTGCTTTTTGTCTCAAGATTATCTTCACAAATCCTGTTTTGCGTATGAGGACAAAATCATGAATATCTTTCCCAATGATGAAGCATGCTCCATTTTAGAACAGGGTGGGTTGATGCGAGGCCCATGTCTTTGAACACCAATGAATGGATCGTGAGACAAGCTGCCAGAAAAGACTATGAGGGACAAAGCCACGAACAAAGACGAGATACAATGGACATGGATCAGTTGATGATAGTTTCATCTTAGAGAGTTCTAGAGGCGATGACTTCAACTGAGCTGGTACAAAGCGATCAAACCAAATCGCTCCATCATGTCAAGGATGTCTGCCTTAACGATTCCTCCCGTAATAAAGCTGGAGAACACATGATCAACAAGTTCCATGCTAAGGATGCCACTTGCTTCAAGTTCCTGCCAGTACGTAGCAAATAAAGGCATCTACAAAATATATAAATGACAGCAATTCCAGATTAGAGAAGTCCACTACATGTTCCTTTTGAATTTTTCCACGAATATGTACAGGAACTAGAAAAAAATTTATTTCAATCAGTGTACCGAAATGGTCGGAAAGTACACTCAACCTGCAATTTTGTACCTTGCGCTTCTCAGAGGTTATTACTGATTGTTATTCAGCACCACAGAAACAAATTACCGCAAGCAAAAATAACTATTGTGATTACAATGATTGTGAGTGGTAGCAAGTCAATACAAGTCTCCTGTAAAGTAAAAAGTCTAAATCAATTTATGACCGCAAGAAGCTGCAAAAGGTACATGAAATATCTCGGGGTCAACAGTTTTAAAGATCAAAGAGTAAAAGCTGTTGCATTAGTTGCCGATTTATGAAAAAAAAAGTGTCACTTGCATTTTCTGTTGCTCTAAGTTAATGAACATTTTCCAAGTAAGGACTATCCAAAATGAATTTTTTTCCTACCTGTCTATTGAAAGGTGGAATGGTTATCAGCTGTTTGAACAGATCAATCAACCACTGAACCTTCAGTACAACTGTACTGCAGTGCTTGATTATTATCCCAAGGTCATGGTAAAAATAGATCATACACTCAAACTCTTTGGCATCTTCCATGAAACAGTGTTTCCTTGCATAGTGCTCAAGTTGTTGCAGATTTCTATGATAAATCTGTTTAGCCACCAAAGCTTCAATTACCTTTTCAAACAAAAACCATCTAGAAGGCAATAGAATAATAAAATGCACTAGGGTTTAAAGTTGGATCTTAACTTCAGTCAGGTATGTACTTATTTGCAGTCTTCCAGTTATTTCCTTGGTCTGGCTTTCTCGAAACTTTAGGGAAATTCAAATATGGTTATGTTTTTCCCAAGAACGATCGCAATTCAAAGAGCTGAGCCTTCTAAAATATCCATCAAACATTCACACCTTTTTAAAACCACAATATTGTCACAATGTCATGAATTAGATGTTTTTTTGTTAACACTTAATTGACTGCTGTGTATTTCTACAGTCTAATGTTTAAAGAATTTTGATGAAGTTCAAACCAGTGGAGGTAAGATATTTCTGTGTTCATAACATTTATATGCATATACAGTTATGATGAAAACACTGACTGCTCCTCAAAGAACTTTTCATGACTGTTTCAATACATGTAAAACATTGATCGCAAAGTCCACGAAATGAGGTTTGCTAAATAAAATGTTAGTTTCGTTTACCTGACAAGTATTTTCTTCCCCATATAAGGCTGCTGGCTCAACACCTCCAGGATTTTCTGTCGCAATTTTTCTATTCCATCTGCTTGTCCTTCTTCCTCTGCTGTGCATGTTTAAAAAATTCATTTCCAAGCATAATGTAACACAGAAACATGTGCTTGCAATGAGAATAGTTTATATCATACATGTGTGATTGCAGGTATTTTATAGCTGACAACATAGCTAGGATGATAAGCTCTTCAACTTCCCAAATCATCTTCTGTTAGTTCCTTATTTCAAGCTCTGAAATTTATGGATCTGCCAGAAAAATTTATAGGCCTCTGTATGGTAATGCTGGTACATAAAGTAGCCGAAAGCTAAGAAGAGTGAAGCTAATAGAAAAAAAATTCAAACTAGCTTCCACTATTAGCCTGAACTTATTTAACCAGGGTGGTATCCTTCCCTTGCCACTCCCACTTAATCATTCTATGTGTCTACCAACCTTTTAAAATTGTAATGACACACAGCAGAACTGCTTGATGACATTTAAATGTGAGTCAGATAATAATTATTGTATACTCAATGCTTGCCAACTGTCGAACAAATGAGCCTTTGGTTAGAGAAGAAAAATTGGCCACAAATTGAGTGTTCTTGGGATTGATGCAAAAACACCAAACATCTTACCTGTTTCATGTTTTCCTCTCAGCTTTCGAATATTCTGGATAAATTTCATAATCAAGTTTCGTCTCCTAGTGTTGTCAATGTAGAAAAAGGGTCTGATCACATGCTCCCCATATTCCATACCAGAAATTCTCTCAAGTATTTGTTTCTCTATTACTGCCTTGTCCTCAACTGGTTTGTCAGCATGTGTTCCAACAATAAACACTGGGGGACAGAGGTAGGGCAGCTTATGTTGTGCATCATCATCTGGGTCATCAGTTGCCCGGGCAACACCATGTACTGTAGCCAGCCATGATAGCAAATTCTCCATGTTGGTTTCACCGTTAGAGTTTTCTAATTTCACACCAGCATTCCCTTGTCTCACGCAGGGCTCAGCTGCAGCATCCAAAGGCTTGCTGAGATTGTGCACCAGTATGTACAATGCTCGCTGTGAGAAGAAGATAGGATGGAGGGCAGAGTACATGTAGTGCCCTGTGAAGTCCCAAATATCCGTAACATAGGATACTTCTTTGAATAAATTACTTTTAATGTCTTTGCCTTGGAGATACTTCAACCACCGATGAACATGCTTTACAGCATTAGGGGGTAGAGTGACATCAAAAGTTAACTTAGGCTCATCTAGGATGTAGTCCATTGAGTGTTCAATGCTAATGTTGTGCATAGCAGCTACTGACGGGTAATCTCCTTCATCCTCAACCTGAATTAAGTATCAATTATTTATTCGCTTATTTATTTATTTGTCTGTTTGCTGAAATTTTTGATATTTCATCATAAAATATCATTAATATCATAGTACAGCTATTATGCACGATTATGTTATTTACCAGGAGCCCATTAAGTACCAGGCTCTTGTATTTACTGAAGAATAACGGTCCTAGCCTACTTTGCATTAAAATTTTCGGGAACTTTTACCCCACCTTGTTGTTTTTATGTGGGCAACCTTTGATTTCAGAGGTTAGGAAATACTTTCGCATTCAGACTCATGAGAGTACACCGTGAAAACGAGGTTTGGAGGTGAGAGTGGATATTCTAACGTAAACGTGCACAGGACCCATTGTCAATTAGTTTCTAATTTGTACAGTATATCCAATTATTTGTTGCTAGATGCTGATGAATGCAAGGCCTCGTTACCTGTCTGTAACACGAATGCTATTTGCCAGAATACCCCTGATTCGTATATTTGTGCTTGTAAACCTGGAGTTATTGCAGATGGGAGAACTTGCACTGGTAAGAGGGTTTACACATCGCTTTTTCTTGAAATTTTAAATTAATATAAATGTGAATCTAGGCCTGGACGACTTTAACCGAAAGGGCGCAAAATCTGATCATATTCCGTAGAGTACCAAGGAAACAATGAAAACAATAGATTAAGGAGGCTGTGTTTTTATTTTGACGTGTCCTGAGCACGTCTCTTCTACACCAAGAAAGAGCAGCAATTATGAACAGCGGTTTTGTTGTGGTTGGGTGTCATTAGCAAGATGTCACAAAGTAACAAGAAATACAACGAGCAATACAAAAGCCTGTTTCTAAGGGAATGTATGTCTGGCGGCGACACAAGTTGAAATGCAAAGCCAGCATAGTGTAGCTTGAATGAAGCTACGTGCACAACGTGATTAAGCACAATGGGCAAATATACGGGAAGCCTTATTGATGTTGCCATTCGCAAGCTACGGATAAAAAACCCGTCTTGCAAACAATGCATTCAAAATGATTTCCAAAAACGAACATTATGTCGGATCTAACAACATTTCTTGTAAATCACAGTACATACCCTTTAATTGAACACGTTTGTTGGAATTGAAACCTTCCCCCTCTATGTGAACCCAAAGTTATTGTAAATAACCTGCTCACAGCGTTTTTTCATGATAAATATCTTACTAATCTCGTTTTCTCGGTCAGTATTGTAAGTTACGGAAACCTGCTTTTTTTCTTGCTCGGATTTATGACCCTCTTCGTACCTGGGCCATAAAATCGAACAGAAAAACAAGGTTTGTAGCTTGGTTTGCGGACCACTATCCGAAGTGAGGGGTATCTACAGTTGTATAAATAAACCGATGTTACACTTTAAGTAGCAATTACAAGGAAACCTCAAAAGAAAATGCCGTGGAATACGTAGAATACATGTGTCAAAGATCTGATTACCAGCGCAACAAGCGTGTTGAAATAATTTATAGAAAAGTTCTGAATTTACATTTCTTCCAGCAGTAATATCTTGTGAGGCGTTAGGAGTAGAGGATCCAAACATCGTACCTGACGCCCAAATCACTGCGAGTTCCAATTATCTCAGCTATTATCCACGCAAAGGACGGCTCAATGGAGACAGCGGTTGGTGTCAGCAGTCCTCTAAAATCACTGATAACTATATACAGGTTGATATGGGAGCAGGGCGCACAGTATGCGGAGTCGCCACACAAGGAAAGGCAAACGGATCGTTTATAAAAAGCCACAGGCTCTCGTTTTCTACTGATGGCACCAGTTGGACTGCATATAAAGAGAAAAACGTCGAAAAGGTACAACACGTGACGGTCACTTTTTAGTACGCTGTCAATTTTACCTCTTCTTTAAACATTTCCTAGTCTTAGGTTTTTTTCTGTTCGCATGCGCAGGCTGAGAGAGGATTTACCGGTTAGTAAGAGTTAAAATTGATGTAAGAATTATAAATAACGCTCAGGATGAGAGTAATTTTAGTGATCTCCAAAATCTGGAGTTTTTTCTCACATTTTTTCAAATAAAAAGTCTTGTCTTCTTCTCCATCGGAAACATGTAGAAAAAGTGGTCCGGTTCTGCTGTGTCCACAGCGACGGAAATATGAATAAATGTCATGATTCTGTCTACGTAAACACATGTTAGCCGTTACTTTTACGCAATAGAAACACAGGTTTTAGCAACACTTCCGTGACCGGAAGTTTGTTTTTTCGTCCAGTGATGTCAGCGAAGGGGTTAAATGAGTTCTCAATACATATCCAGAAAATAAATTATATCAGGGTGGGAGGGAAATCTCATTTAAGTGGCTTACCTGAGAGTAAATTTTAACTGATGATTAAGTGCTTTCTCTTTTTTTTCATTGCAGATCTTTGAAGCGAATTCAGACTTGAACACCATTGTAAAACATACACTGAATAACCCAGTCCAGGCACGATACATTCGATTTTATCCGGTCACCTTTTCTGGGTACCCTTGTATGAGGATCGAAGTGTTCGTGCAATAAAGAAGAAAATAAATAACAGGGCAATTTTTCTGCATGAACCCTCCTTATTCTTGTAGAATGGAATGGTACAAGTGTTGGTGAATGCTTTAAACAGCCAAACATGGCCTAACTGTGGACGTATTGAAAAGTTTTCAACCGTTTCCTGCGTAGTTTGCGGGCCGTTTCTCGAAGGTTCCGCTAACTTAACTGGCCCCTAGAGCTCTTCTGTTTTTATTCAAGATAGGGGGTTTTGAGAATTATATGATGAATATATTAGTTAAAGAAACAAAATGGACTGGTTGGAGTACCAAAGCCTGCTCTGCTAATCTTAAAATTCTGATTAAAAAATATTGCCTCGGGTCCGTAACCGGAACTTTCGAGAAACAGACCCCTGGACCCGAACCGAATGTGTGCATGAGATGCAAGTCGCGTGTATTACAGTTAGATTTGTTGTTCTATGTTAATCTTGCGTAAACATGAGAATTAATGTTCTTTTCATCTCAAATTACAGATTTTGTATTTGCTTTAAAAGTTCTCCACCCAAGCCAGCTATTTATTATGATTTCTATATAAAATGTCTTCCCGTGTCGTTAAAAAAAAAAGATCGAAAAAATAACCGAAAATATGATGAATTCGCGATAGACAATTAAAAATTTTCAGTTTATAGGAATTAGAAGCGGTTAGGAAAAGAAACATGTCTGGACATGTGGACATCAACGAATTTTAAGAGCAATAATTCGCTTGTTCATCTAATGCGCTGTTAAGGAGACATGTGTCACATCAAGGCGAAAAATATAGAAAACGCTCGCCGTATCGGCACTTTTCCTTCTTTGTTTTGGGAGCCACTTTGGAAATATAGCCGGGCATTTTTATGGTAGGTACTTCGTATATGATTTATTATAGCGGAGCTCGCAGAGCGTAGCCCCATAATTATACAAAATAGTAGTGGATGTACGACCGTACGACCGTACAAGGTGTTTCTTTTAACATGCGTGGTCAACTGTACCGCGGGCGCGCCACCGCCACGGCTTTGTTCGAAAGTCCAGTGGTCAGTGCACTGGGCTCCGAGTCGGACGACCCGGGTTCTAGTCTTGGCCGGGGCAAGGTGTTGTTGTGCCCTTGAGACGTGCGGGAAAAAAAAATGCGAGCTCCGCTTTTAGGCTTGGCAAAAATCTGTATATTAGTGGATACGCAAGTACGTTAGTCATCAATCCGCAGTCAACTGTTTACAACGCTGGAAAATATACTATGCAAAACTCTGCGGAAGGGTGCGTAAGCGTGCGTGGGTCGTGTGGGTAGTTGTGACATTTTCCGCTTGCCAATTAAAATTTAAATATGAAAACACTGCGTAGTATCTGCAACGCATCTCACTACTAGCTTTTTTGTAAAGTTCAAACCATGGCGATCGTGACAGGCAAAAATTTGCGGCTAATCTTCGAATTAGCAGCTCAGCAAAAAATTATCGCAGCAGGGAAGATGTTGACGAATTTCAGATTGCCTTGTCACTTGAAATACCAAATTATCTTCTGTAAGAATGGCATGGAAAAGTTGACAAGGGCGATGCTGTAGCTAACGCTCCCAACTACATCACTCTTGTTAGTGATTTGACCTGTGGTCACTGTGCTTGCTGACAAGTCTTTCCGCTTGATACAATTTTTCCTCAGGTTTATATTTCCTTTTGCCTTAAGAAGCTGTTTCGGTTGACGTATCAACAAATTCGACCTGCCGAGCTCTGAAACTTGTGTCTTGTCTTTTAGAAGCTAAAGAGATAGAAAGGAACTTTTACCTTAACATCACAGTAAACAGGAGGATAAAACGACTGATAACTATTCATGTTAAACATCTTTTTTATACGAAGTGTTCATGCTTTCCGTCACAGTTAAAAGAGACCGCGTATCCCCCTAAAAAACTATAAAGGATATTGAAAACATTCTCACCATGAACTATGTCAAACATCTTGTCCACAAGACGGTCACACTGTTTCTCCCAGCTAAACTTCTCTCCATATGAACTCCTCAGCTGTTGAATATCTCGAAGTCGATCTGATCTTTCCTTCTGTCGGACACCAGAAATTGCCTTTGCCCACTCCTTGGGGTCCTCAGACTCCACTACGAATGATTTGCCCGATGATAAAGTGCACAGTGCTTCACCAAATCCTGAGTTTTTAATGACAAGAATGGGAAGACCGGCAGACAACGCCTCCAACGCTGTCAAACCAAAACCCTCTGTTCTAGAGGGCATGATGCAAAGATCAACTTCACAAAATAATTCTTTCAATCGCTCTTTACTTTGCATGAACTTCCTCACGGTCAGCTGTTTTTTATCAATTCCACTCTTGAGTAAATTATTTGCTACCTCATCCTGTTTACCGTCAGGCGCACCCACGAAAATCAGATGATAAGACCTGTCTTTCAGTTCAACTATTGCTCTAGCAGAGATATCGTAGCCCATCAAGCTGACGTCCTCTGGGTCACCACGGCCAAACGTCAGTACCGTGAACTTGTTACGCTCCTTTAGGGTTTGTTTTACGTCAGAGAACTCACAGAAAGTTCCAGGAGTCAGTTGAAGGATTTCGTCCTCACTCTTGCGTGAGCAGAGCTGAGTGGCAAAACCGTCTGTTAGCTTAGGTCCAACTGTTAGCTTAGGTCCAACTGCTAGCACAGCATCTGCCAGCCTACACAACGCCACTTCGGTTAAATTCTTCTCTTGACCCTTGGCAATAGCACTGGGATAGTTTTTGTGCATTGCAAGTTCTTCGGGTGCAGTGTGCACCACCTGAATCCACTTGCAATTGTGAGACTTTCTGATAACTTGGGCTTGCTTACCAAGCTTTGCACCATGACCCAGCACAAAGTCAATGTCAAGGTCTCTTGGTGGGAAACTCAACCATTCAAGAGGATCACTGAAGCCTTCAAGTTTCTCGGCTTCCCGGATGGAAACATTGTGACTGGATGCCATTCTCCTCTCTTTATCAGTACAGGCAAACTGTGGGACAAGGAGAGTAACGTCCAGTTCAGAGCGTTTGGCCAACAGAATGGCAAGCTGTCTGTTGATGGTGGACAAGCCCCTCATTGACAAACTCCACTCACTGCCAAGGAGAGTCACCTTCAATGCTGTGGCAGACTTCTTTGGATTGATTTCACTTGCTTCATCATGTAATCTAGCAGCTACATTTGAAGAGGACAACCCCTTAAGAAAAAAAGGGTCATGTAAGATTATGGTAATTACATTGAAAAAGCTTTGGTTGTGGTCATATAAATTTTAATTGATCAATACTTTACCAAGGTAAAACGAAGAAGTATAGAATTCAAAAATAATTTCATTTTGTTACAAATTCTTTGACTTATATTTTAAACGGAAGACAACCTATCAGGGCTCCCTTTCTCAACGCTGATAACAGCCCAATTGATATTCACATCATGTAAATTAGGGGAGCGAAGCAAACACGAAACTGAGTCCAGAAATCTTTGCTTGAAAGATCATTACAGTCAATTATACCTGGCTTCTTTTCAAGAACCATTTCTTCAATCCACAAACTGGTTCTACCATATCCCAAGGTTTTCGCGTACAAATGTCCGGCTGACCTTCATTTGCATCAATGAGGTGGAGGCAGTCCTTGTGTGTGCAAGTGGTTTTCATGTAGTCTGAGCATGCTTGACGCATTTCTTCTGTCCCTTGATGACAGTTCGGACATGCAACACACAGCCTATACTGCAGTCCCCTCAGGTAGGGCATTTCTTGTGACAAATTCTTTAGGGTGTCTTCAAGAAATTCACGAACAAGAGTTGCTAGTTCGGCGGAGTTCTGTCCTACAACCTGATGACTTTGTGCTTTTTGTCTCAAGATTACCTTCACAAATCCTGTTTTGCGTATGAGGACAAAATCATGAATATCTTTTCCAATGATGAACCATGCTCCATTTTGGTACAGGGTGGGTTGATGCGTGGCCCATGTCTTTGAACACCAATGAATGGATCGCGAGACAAGCTGCAAGAAGAGACCATGAGGGACAAAGCCATGGACAAAGAGGAGATATAATGGACATGGATCAGTTGGTGATGGTTCCATCTTACAGAGTTCTACTGGTGATGACTTCAACTGAGCTGGTACAAAGTACTTCTCCTCATTTGGGTAAACTGAGAACTTAGCGATCACACCAAATTTCTCCATAATGTCCAGGATGTCTTCTCTAATGTTGCCTGGTTCAACAAAGCTGGAGAACACGTAATCAACATGTTCCATGCTAAGGATGCCACTTCCTTCAAGCTCCCGCCAGAAATAAGCATATCGAGCGTTCTATAAAATATATAAATAACAGGAATTCCAGATAAGAGAAGTCCACTAAATGTTCCGTTTGAATGTTTCCAACATGTATGTACAAGAACTAGAAAATCAATGTATCGAAATGGTCGGAAATTACACTCTTAATGTGCAATCTTGTATCTTAGGCTCCTCAGAGGTGATTATTAGTTGTTATTCACCACCGCAGAAGCCATTCAGCGCAAGCAAAAAGAACTGTTCACTTGTGTGACAACAATTATTGTTAGTGGGGCAAGTTAATGCAAGTCTCTTGTAAAGTAAAAAGGCTAAATCAGTTTATAACCTGAAAAGCTGCAAAAGCTACATGAAATAACTTGAGGTCCGACAATTGTAAAGATCAAAGAGTTACTGCTGTTGCATTAGTTGCTGATCTATTGAAAGAGTATCACTCTCATTTTCTGTTGGTCTAAATTATTGAACATTTTCTAAGTTAGGTCCTTTCAAAAGTGAAATTTTTTTCCTACCTGTTTATTGAAAGGTGGAATGGTTATCAGCTGTTTGAACAGATCAATCAACCACTGAGCCTTCAGAACAACTGTACTGCGGAGCTTGATTATCATCCCAAGACCATGGTAAAAACTGATCATGGACTCAAACTCTTTTGCATCTTCCATGAAACAATATTTCTTTGCATAGTGCTCAAGTTGTTGCAGATTTCTGTGATAAATCTGTTTAGCCACCAAATCTTCAATCACCTTTTCAAACAAAAACCATCTAGAAGGCAACAGAATAATTAAAATGCTTTAGGGTTTAAAATTGGATATTAACTTCAGTCAGACATGTGCTAATTTGTAGTCTTCCAGTGGTAGTTCATCTATTTCCTTGGTCTAGCTTTCTCCACACATTAGGAGAATTCAAACATGGTTATATGTTTCACATAAGCAATCTCAATTCAAAGAGCTGTGCCTTCTCAAATACCCATCAGACATTCACACCTTTCTAAAAAATACAATATTGTCACGATGTCATGAATAAGAGTTTTATTTGTTGGCACTTATATGACTGCTGTGTTTTCGTACAGTCTTACGTTTTAAGAATTTTGATGAACTTCAAACTAGGGTAGGTACGATATTTTTGTGTTCATATACATTTAAATGCATATACAGTAATACTGAAAACACTGACTGCTCTTCAAAAAACTTTCCATAACCACTTGAATACACGAAAAACATTGATCCCAAAGTCCACGAATTGAGGTTTGCCAGATAAAATGTTACTTTCGTTTACCTGACAGGTATTTTCTCCCCCATATAAGGCTCCTGCCTCAACACCTCCAGGATTTTGTTCTGCAATTCTTTTATTTTATCTGCTTTTCCTTCTTCCTCTGCTGGATATGTTTAGAAAATGAATGCAAAACATAATATAACACAGAAACATGTGTTTACAATGAGAATAGTTTGTATCATACATTTGTGATTGCTGATATTTCATTGCTGACAACATAGCTAAGATGATAAACTCTTCAACTCCCCAAATCATCTTCTGTTCCTTATTTCAAACTCTGAAATTAATGGATCTGTCAGCAAAAATGTATATGGCCTAGTATGGTGATGCTGGTACATAAAGTAACTGAAAGCTAAGAAGACTGCAGCTAATAAAAAAATTAAACAATTCTAACTTAAGCTTGCACTTTAAGCCTAAAGTCATTCAACCAAGACAGTATCCTTCCCTTAATTACCACTCCCTCTTAAACATTCTGCATGCCTACCAACCTTTTAAAATTATGACACAGCACAACTGCTGGATGACATGTAAATGTAAGTCAAATAATAATCATTGCATGCTCAATGCTTGCCAACAATCTACATCAATCTATAAACACTGATATCAATTTGCCACAACAAAATAGCTTTCCAGTCGCTGAGAATTTGAGACAATTGTTAAGCCTGCTAAATAGACAGGGTAGATGAACTGACATTAAGAAACAATAGCTTTTTCATAAGAGTTCCTCCTCCTTCTCCTTCTCCAAATATGTAAAAAAAGATCAGGTGCACTGTTCTGATCAAACAAGATTGATGGCAGAATCATAGTCAAATGAATGGCTTCATTGGCTCTTAATGCTCTACGTTTCTACAACCGGATATTTTAACTTAACTCGTTTGTCCGAGAATGGGACAATTACTCACTTTCTATGATCATGGAAAAGATAAAACCAAAATAAGATAAGGTCATTCTGCATTTCAAGAACTGGCAAGCATCAACCAAACGCAGGATTGATACTTCAAACTGCTCATAACAGAATGGTAAATAAACGGTTTAAAGTTTCTCTGGAATGTTGAGCAGAACAGACAAACTGAAGGAAACTGTTTAAACCTTTTTGCTACAGTGTTAAACAGATGCAAAGTTTTTTAAACAGACGCAAAATTTCTTAAACGGACGCAAAATTTCTTAAATGGACAAGCACAGCGCTTAAATGTTTTAGCAAAAGGGTTAAACGGATGCAAATTTTTTTAAATGGATGAACAAATCATTTAAACACTTTCATGAACCATTTAAATGGATTTATGCAGATAGTAAACGGTTTCTCAGTTTAAATGAAAAGTATTAATGTCCATTTTCCTATGGAGGGTCGGAAATGGGTCTTTGATTAAACAAAAAAATGGTCACAAATTAAGTGTTCTAAGAATTGATGCAAAGACAAGCTAGTAACCAATTATAAAATCATCAATTACTGCAAGTAACACATTGTGAAGGATACAATAAGAGATAGAATATTTTACCTGTTTTATGTTTTCCTATCTGCTTTTGTAACTTCTGGATAAATTTCTTAATAAAGTTTGGTCTCTCAGTGTTGTCAATGCAGAATAAGGGTTTAAGCACATGCTTCTCATATTCCATACCAGAAATTCTCGCCTGTATTTGTTTCTTTATTACTGCTATGTCTTCAACTGGTTTGTCAGCATGTGTTCCAACAATAAACACTGGGGGGCGGAGGTAGGGCAGCTTATGTTGTGCATCATCATCTGGGTCATCAGTTGCCAGGGCAACACTGTGTACTGTAGCCAGCCATGACAGCAAATTCTCCATGTTGGTTTCATTGTTAGGGTTTTCCAATTTCACATCATTACTCCCTTGTCTCATGCAGGGCTCAGCTGCAGCATCCAAAGGCTTGCTAAGATTGTGCACCAATATGTACAATGCTCGCTGTGGTAAGAAGATGGGATGGCTGGCATAGTACAGTTGCTGCCCTGCAAAGTCCCAAATATCCATTTGATAGATTTCTTCTTTGAGTAAACCACTTTTGAGTTCCCTGCTTTTTGGCTAGGACCATTACAAAGTAAAAAAATTATTTTAAAAAAATAAAACAATTTTAATTTTTGCTTCACCTTAAGGTTCACATAATCTTTATTTGATATTAAGCATTTTGAACTATTCTGTCATTAAAAGCTGCCTCAAACATCTTTGTGAAGGATGTTTTTAAAATTCTTACATCACCTCTTTTCTGCCATATTTGTTGCCATCAAAAGATCCCTCTTCAAAATCTGCAGAGGAAATGTGGGCTGAGTCTTTTTCAAAATCTTCTTCTGAAGTTTCATTATATAAAAATTTATAAAAATTTTCTCAAACACAGTTTTTGCCACATCTTTAGAACATTCCAACAGTCCTGGTTTATTCTTACCAATGGACTGCCAGTTCCTTGCACCTTGGTCAACATAAATTTCACACTTTAAAGGATCCACTTCAATCCCCTCAGTTCTCTGTTCTTCAGAGTCAAATGGAAGGCCTATGAGACTCTTCTTTAAACTGGTTTTGCCAGCTCGATCTTGACCAATGAGTATTATTCTACTGCGGTAAACTGTGACATATCCATCTTTCAAAACCCTTTCATGAGCCAGCTGTACTTTACGTTGATCTGCTATTTGGCCTAATTAGAAAAAGTTTTCACAACATAAAGAAAACAAAATTTATGCATTGACAAATTTGTACAAAATAACTGAAGAAAAAAGCAAAGGTAAAAGTTTACAAATCAACTAGTATAAATCTCCAACATAAATCATGTTGCAGTTAAAGACTGGTATATGAAAACTGAACCATCAAATCACTTATTTTTCTGATGTTAATATATTAGTGAGTTTGGAAAACACATTTACTCCACTCTGACATAAAAGTTACTCAGTCAATTAAAATAGTTCTTCTGGCATAAAATGTAGTGATGAGTTTGGTGAACATGCACACCAAAACTAAACTGACTCAATATTTTATAACAATAAGAATTAGAAACACTCGTGACTGATCACACAAGAGAGAGGCAATGACTTAAATCAATTCTGCCAAGTAGTATTTGTAAAAGAGAAAGTAAAAAGTGCATATTTCCAAAAGGTAACAACTGTAAGTTTAAAAAAGATTACGCAAAAAATACTAGTGTAAATTATATGGAAATAACGATCAGAATCCAGTCACACTAAGACAAATTCAAGCCTTATTCCTGTAACTTAATTCACAAATTGAATTAGTTTATAAATTTTGTTTGATAAACCAAAAGTTATTCAATTTTTAAACACTTCCAACTAATCAGATGGAAAGTACACAATAGATTTTTGAGGTCAGTGCGTGAACTGCCCTTATAAAAAGTAGTGACTGCCAGGCAGAGATGTTTACCGAATTAGCAACCAGAACATTAGCACTAGCTAGGAGGTTGGTCTCAGTTCCAGGATCAGTGTACTTTTGGAGAAATTTTAGTTGCTTTACTCTTTCGCCAAAATGGCCGAAAGTGTACCTTGATAAATCATCGTTTCCATTATTTACATTACCTCTCATGAAAAATTGAATGTACCACAACGAAGATGAACAATATCACTATGTGTGCTGTAAGTTGTATCATTTAAATGGACAGGAGATTGAGAAATATATATTTTACACTTTTTAAGCAAATTTTTGTTTCTAAGTATGGCCTTCTGCCATGAACAATCATGCTTTGTTTCCATAGCAACAAAAGTGGTGCAACCTTTAAAAAGGGCATTTTTGTGCATCCCTTGGGTACCTAACTACATGCAAATTTGAAGGGGGGTTGAAATTTTTCATTTCCCAAGTCGCTTGATTCTTACAGAGACCACTGTTAGATACTGCATTTCCTCGAGTAAGTACCCAGGCATGAATTATTTCAAGTTTTGATAAGAAGGATAGGCACCTATTGGAAGGAAGTTGCTTAATTGAGAGGTCTTTTGTAAGAAACTATAAGCTGTACTGATTTAGCTGTAGTTGAAGGTTAAAAAGTTATAGATAAAGTGGTAATAGAATCAAGTTTTCCTTTTATTTAGGAAAGTGGGGGAGAGCGAAGAGTGATTTTTCTATGGGCAGGCTTACTGCATATATTGGCCTCGGGGGAGGGCACCTCTTAGAGCGTGGGCACTTGCATGAGGAAATGCAGTAATTGGTCATTGTATTAGACTGGAAGATGCTGTTAATCCCATCGTTGCAGCGATGAAAAGCTGATTTACCAGATTTTTTTATTCTTCTAAGAACTTTTCTGTGGCATGCTTGATTCACTGATTTGTTCCTCGCAATATTCCTAACAGCTACAGTCTTATTTTAATATTCCTGAATGTAACATGCAATATAAAGTTTATTCACCTGGTACACACTCATTTCTTGTTTTTTTTAATAAGTTCTACTTAGCTTTTCAGTTAATTTAACGAAAATTAAACATATTAAGGAGATTATCACCTCAGTAATGAAGTTTTATCACTGAATACCTAATTCATGGTGCTATGAAAGCATAACATAGTGGTCAATATGTGCTTATTAACTCTTATTTTTCTTATCTAAACAAACTTTTAGATGCCTCGATAGATAGCCTGTCTAATCATTTATCTCTCTCCCCCAGACTATGATGTCCGCCAAAGTAATTGTAATGCTAAATGGTTGTTTCTTTTCTTACAAAAACCCCAGTAAGCTGACAGTGACAAAAAGGTTATATGTATCTCTTAACAGGGCTTTCCAAAACAAACATATAAACAAAAAACTTACTTACCAGAAAGTGAACATGAATAAATAGCACTTTCTAAAACTTTCTCACCTTGGAAATTTTGTTGTTTGTTGTCATCATCTGCTGGAATGCTTCCTTCTGTAAAAAATCAATAACTCGTGATTAGTTATTCAAGTTATACAACACTGCTAATCATACCAGCTGTGAAACACAACTCGTTCTTAGGTAGGACGCTTTTGGAGGGTTTTCAAAAACCTAATCTACAAACATAAATTATGGATCCTGACAAGAGTATTATTGCCTCTTGCATCTTACATGTTGTAGTTTTTGGAAGAACTAATTAAGATATAAACTCTTTCAGAATTAAGTTCTTAAGTTGCAGCTGAAGTTCCATGCAGTTGAGTCAACATGGAATGGTTGGTTCCATGCTTGGTGGACCACTTTATAGAAAACATATGAATAGTTTTGTGATTTAAGTATTCATCAAGCAATGCAGTTCATCTTTTCCTCTGTCATTTCTCCCTGATAACTGCAGTGCCTAATGACCAGAAATTTTGGTTTGCATGATGATTTCAAATTTTAATGGACTGATATATCATTGTAGGCCTGAAGTTGAAACAGGTGACATGGACTGTTAGGTTAGCTGTAGCTAGGGCAGTGGGCTCAGGCTCTTAGCAATCTGAACATCAGGAGAAGACGAGCTAAGGGTGGTGCAGGTATCTGTATTAGGTGCTTCAGGGAGATCATTAGATGACGTCTGTTCCTCCTCAGTTGCCCCTTGGGAGTTTCAACTGTGTAAGAACATGGGGGGCCAGCCTTGTCTACCACAGTACCTTCAACTTTTTTGTCAGGCAACCAAACGCGTTCTCCGGGGAGGAGATCTGGAAGGGTCTCAAGGTATGACCAAGAGGGCCTCAGGTTATCTAGTGAGGTGGGGATTCTAGTGTGGATCTTCCTTCCCATCAGCAGTTCTGCGGGACTTAGGCCGCTTTCGAGAGGTGTGGCACAATAAGCCATTAGTGTTTTGTAAGGGTCAGAGGGTTTCTTAAGTAGATTCTTCACGGTTTGAACCACACATTCGACCTCACCATTTGCTTGCAGGTATTGGGGGCTGGTAAGGATGTGAGTAAATCCATAGTCTTTGGCAAATTTGGAAAATGAGATTGATGAAAATTGCAGCCCACTGTCAGAGATGAGTTGTTCAGAGATACCACGTCTTGCAAACATAGATTGAAGGTGTGCTGTCACATCTGGCGGAGTAGTACATGAAAGTTTTGCCACCTCTATGTAACGAGAAAAATAGTCTATAACAAGCAGGTAGGGATGCCTTCTTCGCTCAAATAGGTCAGCTGCAACTTTCTGTCAGGGCCAATCTGGTAATTCGGACAGGATGACTGGTTCTGCTGGATCTACTCGTTCCTTGATGCAAGTGGGGCACTTCTTGACTACTTCTTCGAGTTGTTGACTCAGGCCAGACCACCATACAGACGTTTTGGCTCTCTCACGGTATTTTGTAATACCCTGGTGAGCATCATGTAACCTGTCTGGGACATCTATTCTCATGGACAGGGGGACAACCAGTCAGTTTCCCTTCATCAGTAAGCCATGTTGTACTGTGAGGTCATTTTTCTCAAGCCAGAACGCTTTAAGTGGACCAGGGAGCTGGGGTTTTTCTAACCAACCCTCAGAACAACAAGTGATGAGTTGCCTTGTGATTTTATCCTGTTGTTGTTGGGACCTGAAGTCTTCCAGTCGATCTTCCATTGCTGGTAGGTATTTTACGATGGAGTCGACATAAGCTCGTACATCAGCCTCTAACTTCTCTTCCTCTCGGTTAAGGGGTTTAACTAGGGGTTTGCAGGAAAGGGTGTCTGCTGTGTCAAGGGACTTCCCAGGTACATGCGAAATAGAGTAACTGAACCTCATCATTCGCAATCAGAAACATTGTACTCTGGCTGGCAGGTCCTCAAGGTTCCTAGTACTCAGCAGGGGAAATAAAGGCTTGTGTTGGTCTCAATGTGGTATTTCAGGCCAATTAGGTAATTGGTGAAGTGCTCACTTGCCCAGGTGATCTTCTTTGGGGCTGCAAATGCTTGCTGTTGGGCTTCACTCCATAACCAGTGACTTTTGTAACTCAATAGGTCTCTTAGTGGCTTGGAAAGCTCTGCTATTTGTGACTGGAGCTTGCTTAGTTGGTTAACCATGCCAAGAAATCTTAATTCTGTCTGGTCTTAAGGCGCTTTCATCTTCAAAATGGCTTCAACACTCTTGGGGCTAACATGCACTCCCTTAGCGTCAATGAGTGTCCCAGGAATTCAAGTGACGATTTTGAGAATTCACATTTCTCTTCATTTAGATTAAGGTTAGCCTCCTATAGCTTGTGAAGGGTTGCTTCTAGGTTTTGATTGTTCTTCCACTGATTTGCCGTACACAAGGATATTGTTCATCAAACAAAGAGCACCATCAGTTTCTTCAAGAACCTGCGAGATTCGTTCTGGAAATGTTCAGGGGCTGAACTGATTCCAAATGGTAGGCGATTAAAACAAAACCTGCCGAGAGGTATGATGAAATTTTGAGTTTAGCTGACTCTGGAGATAAGCCTATTTGCCAGAATCCTGAGTTGGCATCAAGTTTACTAGATATGGTCACTCCAGCCAGTTGGGCGAAGTTGTGGTCAACACTGGGTAGAGAATGATACTCCCTCAGGATGTTTTTGTTGAGCTTGGTTAGATCAATGTATATTTGAACTTTGCCATTAGCTTTTGGGACCACAACCATCCTGGCGCACCATTCCGCTGGCTCATCCACTTTAGAAATGAGTTGCTAGATGAGTTCCTAGACAGTTCTTCATTGACTTTCGAAAGAAGGGGGACAGGTACTCTCCCTGGTGTACCAATTGCAGGTGGTTTTGTATCAGGTTTGAGCTTGATTAGGTAATCAGGATCACCAAGTTTTCCTAGACCTTTAAAGAGATTTGGGAATTTTTCTTTAACTTCCTCTGCTTCCACTGCATTGACCTTTTAGACAATTCTTAGCCCCACTATAGCTGGACGGCCAAGGAGAGCTAACCAGGCTCCAGTCAGCACAAACATTTTCTGAGATAAAGATTCTTCTCCTCCTTTGATGATTTCCATTAAGCAGCCAAGAATGGGAAGAGTTGTGTGGGCCGCGCCAAACAGGGTCTTGCTGGATTGAACAAGGGCCGTAGTTATGTAGAGTGAGGTCTATAGACGAAATGTCTTTTTTTCTCTCAGTCCCGATTGTCCCAAGAGAGGCACAATCTTCTTCGATTTTGCCGACAGTTTGCAAAGACTTGCAAACAAGTGCCCAGTGACCTCTCTTCTTGCACTTGTGTCAAATCGCAGCGTTAGCCGGGCAATTTTGTCGAATATGGCCCGCAGATTTCCCACAGCAGTTGCAGCGATTCCAAGAAGGCGGTCATAAATTTCGGCAGTTTATCTGCTTTTACCGCATCGACTTCATTCTTTTTTCCCGTGGATTCCTTGAAGTCATTCCACATTAGGGTTTGTTGTTTTTTGACGGCTTCCCTTTGCTGTGCCTGGTTGATTGCTTTTGGCAGCGTGAACTCTGGGTCGAACTGAAGTTTCTCTGACAATTTCGTGTCCATAAAGCCAACCACAATCCTACCTCGAATCATTTCATCTGTCAAAGTACCAAAATTGTAGTGTTCAGCTAGTGTATGCAATGCCGTGACGAATGTGTCGACTGTCTCGCCTTCTTATCGGCGTTGACTGAACTTTGCTCGCTCGAAAATAACATTACGGCAAACCACGAAGTGTTCAACAAACTTTATTTTGACATTGTGGTACTGCTTCGGTTGTGTAGCAATCGTGGCGATCGGGTAAACAATCGAAATGTCTAAGATATTCATAAATCACCATAACATGTAGCCATTAACGGCCAAAAGGTTTGTTTAAAAGTATATTCCATCGGATGACTGGAGCGATTTTTAGGGGATGGTAAACAAGACCAAAAGTGAGAAATAGGTTTGTTTTCAAGAACTCTTTGTTTCTGAGAGCACCAAGAATCTCGAGAGAATGGTTGGTGCTTGGTGGATATTACTTGTGTCATTTGTGTCAAGTTTTGGCTGTGGCTGAATATGTCTGTTAGCCGTCACTTTGGTATTCAGTCAAGTTGTTCTGTTTGCTATCACAATTAGTAAGCAAAAATAGTCCCAGCTGCTCGTTAACAACGTAGCTAAAGCAAAGTCTCGACTCAGTTTGTTTTCAATTGCTCAAAGTTTTGCAAGAGAAAATAATTTTTTCAAATCCTTGGCATTTTGGAGAACTTTCATAGTTCAATCATGTTCTACGACATCTGAATCACTAAAAATTAGTATTTGCTGACTAGCCTTATTCTTTGTATAAGAGGTATAATTGAACCTTTACACCCTAATATCAGTATGCACAATTTTTCTCAATACTTTCTCTGTACTTTTCTTAGGGTTCAGAAAAACAGAATTTGTTTAACAATCAAGAGCTTCTTTAGTTGTTGATCATTTCCCTTATTCTCATGACCTTGATGTTTGAACCAGGGGTGATCTTGTAAGGAGAAAATAGATGCCAGTCACTCTTAGGCATTAAAGGGTTAAATGACATATGTTGTAAAGTTTACTCACCTTGAACAGACTTTGTTTGTTTTTTCCCATCAGTTGTGTTGCTCTTTAAAGTGGTGTTTGGAGCTTCTTCTGAGGAGAAAGCAGAGAAATATCACATTATGGAATGCTACCTAGTGTGGAGACCAGCAAACAAACTTCTAATTAGAAGACAAGAAAAAGGTAGAAGTGATGGATGTTTTAATGTCCGTTGTGCTCTCTCGCTTCCACATTGTTTAAATGTTACTCTCTGTCCTTAAAACCAATCTCGCCTGCTTTTGCAAGAGCCTTTAAATGAGAATTTTTAGGGTATTTTTTGAGTATTTTGTAGTATTACTATATTATATGTTTGAACTGCTGAATGACCAGTACGCAAATGTGAATACATGTAAAAAGCTTTTCTTTGATCACCATTGTTCTATGTTTAAGAACTAACTTATATCCTTCTTCACTGATAAAGGATTTATCAACACACATAATCTCTCTCTGAAGTTTACCCAAATAGTGCTTGGTAAGTAAGCTTTATCCACCACAAACATATTCAAGCTGTCTATGTGAAGTATTTTTCGATCTCCAAGTACTAATCTGTCGATCAGTATGAGAGAAGGGCAACCAAATTGAGTGCTCGGGTCACATAAATTACCCTATTTTAAGAGATCTACAGAGTCCAATTCTGCAAATTGATGACCATGCATTTCTCAGCTGGCTTTTTAAAAAAATTTGTTAATTCTGTTAAACTATCAGCTTGACAATATATTTACTTCTTTGGGCGAACCCAAGATAAAGGAGTTGGATCAGTATCCTAAATATGTCAAAAGGTTGTGAGGTTGTCTCAGTGTCACCTCCCTCCGTCCTCAATCCCCATCTCTCCATTAAATGGAGAGAGCACAAGTATCAGATCTGATCAATAAATTCCTTGAATGATACCAGTCTGAATTTGGTGATACAACAAATTTGCAAACATACTTGAGGGGGCTTAAAAAAAACATAACAGAGCGTGAAATTGCGCCTAATACAGGTGCCAATGCGACTAAATTTTTTACTTTGGCGACCAAATCCTGAAAATTAGTCGCCAAATTGGCGACTAGAATGTTTCATCATAACGTTACCTAAAGATATAGTAAATTAAAAAGATTTGCAAAGATAAATCCGCAGCAAACTTCCCCGTTAAATTTGTTTCCAAAACGCAGCACATGCATCAAGATCGATCACTAGACGCCATCTTGGATTTAGGTGAGCTTGAACGTTGCATATCATCCATCCTAGTGTCCACTTTGTAGCACGTTAGAGATCTTTTCCCTAATCTAATTTCTAGAACGATGACAGCGTAAAAAAAAGGGTTTGTTTGTCTTTGAAAATGGCGACTAACTTCTTTTGAATTGGCTACCACTTTGAAGAATTTAGGAGCCAAGTGGCTATCAGAAAAAAAAATCAATTTCACGCCCTGACATAACATGTAAACCTCTGCAGACGTGTTTAAAGCATTGACGAAGATGATGCCCTATTTATTCGGTTAAAGACGGCTCTCCAAAACACTTTATATGTGCTTACCTGAACCCTGCATGAAAAACTTTCGTGCAGCGATATACTCCTCCCCCTGAATAGTTGTTGTCAGTTTGAGCTCAGTCAAGTCAAACTCTTTCAGAACGTGCTCTGTCACAAGATATTTCTGAGCCATGTCATTCAGGCGACCTGTACAGTAGTCGTACCACAGGGTGTCCAGTATCTTCAATGAACTACATAGTGCTGTCAATATCAAACTTCCTGGTTGAGCATCTAGGACCAGAACTTCGCGCACATTTTTTAAATACTGCAGGAAGCCATTTAATTCCTCAGGTTTGGTTGTGTTGACTGTCTGAAAGTACCTGTGCGCAATAAAATTCAAAACTCCTTGTGAAGAGGGTAGTTCATCACTTCCAATAACTACGATCTCGCGGCTCCCTGCCTGGCTATCCTGTGTGCCCCCAGGTCTTCCTTCTGACGTTCTAGTAACTACCAGCTCGTCATCACAAGCTTGGGTACCCTGACTATCTGTAACCAATGTCCCTGATGTCTCAAGTCGCGAATGAGGGTCTGGGATGGTCTCACAATCAATCCGCATTTGAATTTTAACTGTAAGGGAAAGAGAGTCATTGCAGTGACTATCAATTTACAACAGAGGCAAAACAGACAATTATCATGAGTGGTCATTAAGTAACAATGGATAATTGACATTTCTCTGCTTCAAAAATATACGAAGCCGTTTCTGTCAAAATATGTGCACAATGTGCACCGTACAGGTAACCCTGATACGTTTTGCAAGTGCCTATGTTAGAGGGAAAATACTTTACTAGTAATAGATATACAGAAAAAATCAACAAGCTGACCTCCAGCTGAGGAATCGGGTCGGCTACCCAGCTCTTGCCTCAAGCGCTGCACTTCATGTACTGCAGATTCCACTTTCCCTCCGAGTTCGTCTTTAATGTCTTGGGCTTCATCTCGAACTTCTTGTCCTAAGCGCTGCACTTCTTGGGCTGCAGATTCTACTTTCCCTCCAAGGTCATCTTTAATATCTTGGGCTTTTTCTCGAACTTCTTGTCTTAAGTATCGAGCTTCTTCAAAAAAGATAAAAATCGGTAAATTTCTTCGCACGTGGGTAAACAAGTATGCGGGTCGGGTTTCAAAGTGAGTATGCAAATTTGCCAAAGTGTGGAGATGTCATGTTTCATGGAGTTTATAAATAATGAAGCAAGACGAAACTGACTAAGGAGCGTTTCGGGAAAAAAGCTTTATTCAAAACAGTTCTTCATTTTCTGTTAAAAGCGAAAAACGTGCGAATTTCTTACGTGTACGAAACCCATGAAGTAGAATTCATCATGCATAAATCGTATAATTAAGTATCTCAACACTACCCGCCTACATTAACTAATGCCATTTGCGGTGTAGTGTCAATACGGAAATAATGTAAAGGGTATTTTAAATAAACCTCACGGCTTGAAAATTGCACAGCGTTATGTTGAAAATTCTGAAAGTTCTACGTTTTGACACGAAATCCTCTCTTAAATAATACTTTTTGGACATCTCATTACTCAAACATGATATTTACCAGGCCTTGGAATCTTCATAATGTCGCTAGGCCTCTCTTGAAGTCCGAAAGTTCGGTTTTCACTTTACGGCTCCAATTCGCATCGCTTCAGGGAATCATAGTGTTGTCGACTCGAAAGCTTATTTGGTCGCTTTTAAGACCTTCATATCCATTATTTTCCATGCAAATTATTCTACAGCATTTTTACTTTTCATTTTGTGTTCCAGATGGTCTAAAATGATTGGAAAGGAATTTAGGGAGTTAAAGGAGTTAAGAAGTGAGTCTGATATATTGTTATCAAATCAAGCAATTAAAAGTACCACGCCAGGAGTTGCATATATGTAATGTGTCCATCAATTCAAGTGTTTAAATGCCCTACCCACTTTTTTTGTAAAAGGAAAATCATCGACCGTAAACATTGATCAGGCAAAAAACCTGAGCCTTGTAGAACCTTTTCTTCCGAGCCACTCTCTAACGAAAATGAACTGTTTACATTAAACACTTCCAAATTTAAGGATATGGCACTCGCATTTCATAGGAAAGGCTTAACACTTCTGGTTCAAATCCCCCACCCCAGCATGGCAGTACAAAAAGGTAGGGGGTTTGCCAAGAACAGGGTTGTTTACCATTTCACCAGAGAAACCAGTTGGATGACAGTTGAGGTAAATGAGGTGCACGAAGACCCCAGTTGATGTTTTGGTATTTCACAGCAATTCTCAAAGATCCCACTTTCGCCTATGAACAGCTGTGATACAAAATGGCAGGATGCCCTTGCATTGCTGTATGAGTTTTTGAATTTGTGAGACAATAACACTATGTAGAGGCCTAACCTTAAATCCTAATACTGCTGATCTTGAAAGAGAGATTAGTTGGTAACCATCTAATTTGTCATGCAGAATAAAGCAATAAACAGAGCACCTTACAGGTACCAGTAACAGAGACGAGAATATTTACAACGTCAGACAATTGAAAATTGTGCTTACTGCCTTTTAAGTTACCTGCCACCTGGCCACCACTTTATGCAATCAAAAAAACAAAAGAGTAATTATGCCCAGTATTGTCATGATACTGATAAACCATCCATCTTTGTTCCTATTCTATCAAGGTAAAAGGGGGGGGTTGGGGCTCTTATTTGACATGTTGACCGAGCTCACAAAAGTGCCACCTAAAATCAAACAATTTGAAAAGAAATTAAGAAAGACAACATAATGCAAGAAGTGTGCAGAGAGAGGAGAGTAGATAAGGAACTAGCAACTTTGAAGGGGACAACTTAGATCCAGTAAATGTTTCAGTTATAAAACTTTTATCAATGTGAGCCTTCTTAAAAGATAAATTTCTTATTTAGTTGAATTGCGCAATTGACAAATCGAGATTAGTTTGTTACACCCATCTTGATCATGTCAGAGACTTCTCACCAAAACTGATAGTAATGTGCTGTATTGTTGTCTAAACATGCGGTCGAAGCTTGTACAATATCAATTGTGCCAATTGTGTCAAATTTTGGTCGTGATTGAAAATGCCCGTTAGCCATCATTTTAGTATTAAGTCAGGTTGTTCTGTTTGCTATCAAGATTAGTAATCAAAAATAGTACCAATTGCTCGTTAACAACACAGCTAAAGCAAAGCCTCGACTAGGTTTGTTTTCAATAGCTCAAAGTGTTACAGACAGGATATCAAAGTTATGCAAGAGAAAAGAATTTCTTCAAAGCCTTGGTATTTTGCAAAACTTTCGTAGTTCAATTATATTCTATGACATCTGAATCACTAATTATTAGTATTCACCGACCAGCCTTATTCAACACGTATGTATAAGAGTTTTTTGACAGTTATAATATACCTTTTACTCCCTAATATCAGTATATATATTCTCCATACTTTCTCTATATTTTTCTTAGGGTTCTGAAAAAGATAATTTGTCTAATAATCGAGAGCTTCTTTAGCTGTTGATCATTTCCCTTATTCTCATGGCCTTAATATTTGAATCAGGGGTGATCTTGTAAGGAGAAAATAGATGCCAGTCACTCTTAGGTGTTAAAGGGTTAAATGATATGCGTTGTAAAGTTTACTCACCTTGAACAGACTTTGTTTGTTCATTCCCCACAGTTCTTCTTCTCTTCAAAGAGGTGTTTGGAGCTTCTTCTGTGGAGGAAGGAGAGAAATATCACATTATGGAATGCTACCTAGTTTGGAATCCTGCAAACAGACTTCAATTTAGACGACTAGAAAAAAGTTGAAATGATGGATGTCTTAACGCTCGTTGTGCTCTCTCACTTCTACATTGTTTCAGTGTTACTTTCTGTCCTTAAGATCAATCTTGCCCCCTTAAGCAGTTACATGTTCAAAAGCCACACAAAACTCACGTCCTCAAATCCGCATATCATAATTGGATCACTAAAAGGGCACTCATTGGAATGAGTTCGTGTGCTTGTGCGTATGTTCACTGCTTATAGATATGACCCAGTAATTTAAGCCTGTGTACCTCCAACAGTATTTTGTCACAGTACCTGAATCTTATAAATACCCAAAATACAAACTCTACAGGCATTAAATCAACCAAACACAAGACTCAAATGTTAAACATATTTACTATATTAGTCCTGAGTAGAGGTGAGAGAATATTTTGCCTCCTTTCAGCTTCATTAAAAAAGTCTGAAGAGTGAGAAGTGTTGTGGAAGAGAAAGAGTTAAGCAAGCACAAACATATTGATATTGTTTGATTTAAGTGTTAAATGACCCATAAGCCAACAGGAATACTGCAAATAAATTAAGTAAATTAACCCACGACGTTCTCCCCAACCCCCCTTCCCCCTTCACATTTCACATTGGTTGAAATACATAAATTGCTGATAGGCACGTGGTGTCTTCCTTCTACAACTGTACCTGTTGCTGTCCAAACTTCTTTTGTATTTCCCTGTGCTTGTTTTGTTGAAACATGTGCAGCTGCACCTACAACAATGAGTTTAGGTTAAAAAGGAACTTATTTTAATACTCCAATGTAAACCAAGCAGTTACATGTTCAAAAGCCACACAAAACTCACAACCCTAAATGCACATATTATTATTGTTAGATCATTAATAGCTCACTCATTAGAATGAGTTCATGTGCACTTGTGTATGTTCGCTGCTTATGGATGTGGCCCAGTAATTTATATCTGCATACATTCAACAGTATTTTGTCACAGTACACAAATCTCATGAATATCAAAAAGTACAAATTAAGTAGTCATTAAAGGAACCAAACACCGTTTATGACTCAAATGTTAAACATGTTTACTATATCAGTGCTAAGTAGAAGTGAGAGAATATTTTGCCTCCTTTCAGCTTCATTGAAAAAGTCAGAAGAGTGAGAAGTGTTGTGGAAGAGAAAGAGTTAAGCAAGCACAAACATATTGATATTGTTTGATCCAATTGCTAAATGACCCATAAGCCGACATGAATACTGCAAGTAAATTAAGCTCTTCTTTGATTATCAATTAAATCATTTTTTGTTTGCGAGCTAACTTATTTCCTTCTTTGTTGCTTCAAGGCTTTATCTACACACTCAATCTCTTTCTGGAGTTTAATCAAATAGTGCTTTGATTAATAAGTGTTGGGATAATAAAGTTCTACAGGCATTTCCATACATTTCCCTACGAGTTAAAAGTACATGTAAAGCAGGAAAAATTACAGAAGTTCTACATACATAAAATAGCTTCATCTCAATCAGCAACTACATAAAGGTCTTTGCTTCACCAAATTTAATAGTTTTGGATACTGCATTTCCTTGAACAAGTGCCCTGATGTGAATTACTTAATGTTTGGGAAGAGAAAGGAAGTTGCTTAATTGAGGAGGGGTGTTTGGTAAGAAACTATAAGCTGTACTAATTTGGCTGTATTTGAAGGTTAAAAAGTTATTATTAAAGTGGCTATAGCATCAGGTTTTCCTTAATTTAGGAAAGTGGGGGAGAAGTGGAGGGTGATTTTTCTAGGGGGGAGTGTATTTCACATATTGGACAGGGGGAGGGTGGCTCATAAAGCATGGACACTTGCATGAGGAAATGCAGTAACTGGTCATAGTGTTATTGTTCAATGTGGGAGGGGGGAGTTCATGTTTGATAAATTGGCTTGGGGGAGGGGGCTTCTTAGGGCATGGAGCATGGGCACCTATACAGTGATATACAGAAGTTGATTATAGACTTAGACTAGAGTCTTTTTTCTTTTATTCTTTTTTTTTTTAATTCTTTTTTCTTTTTTATTCTTTTTCCTTTTTCTTTTTTTTCTTTTTTTTTATTTTAATTCTTCTGAGAACTTTTCTGCTGCACACCTGATTTACTGATTTGTTCCTCATAATTCTCCTGACAGTTAGAGTCTAATTACTGTATTCCTGAATGTAACATGCAATGTAAAGTTTACTGACCTGGCATAGACTCTCCTTGTTTATTCCTCTCTGTTTCTTCACAGTCTGGAGAGCTGTGTAGAGCTTTACCTACAGACAGTAAAGAGAAAAAAGAATTTATCTGAGCAGTCCAGCCAAAGTTCCACTGAAAATTGTCATAAATTAACTCAGAATACCTTCCTAGGAGGAGAGTTAGAATTAAGGCTACTGTACAGTACCACTAAATGTTTCAGTTACTAATAAACATAATATTACTGAGTCTAAAAAAAGACACCAACCAAGTTGACCATGCTTGTTCAACTTTCAACAGTACCTACTTTATGCCTTGAGTAAAATAACTATAAAAAGTATTTCCCAAGCAAATGCACTTTACCAAGTACATGTGTAAAACTCTCTAACACTGTTGCTAATCTTGTGGGTAAGATTATTACATAACACTTAAATTTACCTTTCCTGAGTATTTATCATTTTTAACTATTTGTTTGATTCAGGTCTCTAAAGAATTTATGATTATCACAGGTCCAGGTTGACTCAAGGCTGATTCAACTTTTTATCAGTTACTAGACAAGTTAAGACTGAAACATTAAATTTAAGTAAATTTACCAAAGACAAGGTTCTTCATCTTTATCACTAGACTCTTACAAGGCTCCTCCCAGCTGTACTTCTCCAAGTACTTTTCACGTAGAAGTCTTGACTCTGAAAGTCGCACGTCTCTCTCTTTCTGATGGACACGCTTTATTTCTCTGGCCCACTCTTTAGGATCTTCAGAGTCTACCACACTCTGGGAGCCTAAAGGCACTTTCTTCAGAGCTTCTCCAAGCCCTGAATTACCACTGACAAGTACAGGCAGACCAGCAGATAATGCTTCCAGAGCTGTTGTTCCAAAACCTTCCGTCCTGGATGGCATTATTGCAAGATCTACCTCACAGAATAAGTTTGCCAGCACTTCTCTGTTATCATCAAAGCTGCAAACAATAAGCTGATTACGACTAATGCCATGGTGGAGCAAATTTTCAGCTACAATATCTCCTTTTCCTCCAGCTGCACAGACAAACTTGAGTTTGTATGATTCATCTTTCAACTCGGCAATTGCTTTGGCAGCTATGTCATACCCTTTGACATTGAAATCTTCACAGCTGTCACCACTTCCAATTACAAGAATACGGAATATTTTTCTTTCTATAGCGGCTTGCTCTACTGCCAAAAATTCAGAGAAAATGCTTGGAGTAAGGTCAAAAACTTTTTCCTCCTGTTTAGCTGGACAAAGGTAACACTTGTAAGCTTCTGCCAGCTTAGGTCCAATTGTGATAACTTGATCAGCCATTTTACAGAGTTGGATTTCTGTTTCTTGCATTTTTTGACCTTCTGAAATGTCTTTGTACATTCCATCTTCCTCAGGAGCAGAGTGAACAACTTGAATCCATTTGCAATGACTGTAATTTGGATTTCTCTTCATGGATGCAATTGGTCGGCCAAGGTGAACTCCATGACCAATGACACAGTCTATTGTATGGTCTCTTGGAGGAAAGGACAGGCAAAGAACTGGCTCAAAACCAGGAACTCTATCTGCTTCAACAAGCTTCACATTGTGACTTTCTGCACTGCTCCTGTCCACTTCACTGCAATTTGGAAGCAAGACACTAACATCCACATTGGGGTGTTTAGCTAACTGGATGGCCAGCTCTCGGTTGATAGTTGAGAAATCCCCATTAGTGGATGATTTCCACTCACTACTTAGCAAAGTGACTTTCAGTGTCATGTTTTCCTGGTCTTCCTGTGATGTACAGGCCACACTAGGAATTGTGAAATCCTACAACAACAAAACAAGAATGGTATTGACAATAAGCTGTAAAACAATAATAATTAAATCACAATAATGCATGTCCACTTGATATGTAATGTCAATTCTTTTGGAAACTTGTAGTTAAGTTTTATCCTTTGCCAAAAAGTCGGAGATGTGTAAAATGAGACAAATTTAAACCAGGAAAATATGAAGTTGCCTTAGAGATGACTACACTGTCACTGTCACTGATAACAACCATTACAGTTACAAGGAATTAAATTTGAAAGTAAAAATTATCCTTAAAGGGTCTTCCATTTCAACTCACTTTGAAATTGGTACATGTAGTCTCATTGAAGAAATTTAGGTTAAAAAAACAAGGACACAAATTTGAATGTTTTTGTCAAAATCAAAATAAAAGTTTGGTATTTGTAATAATCTAGATTTTTCCAACTACCTTTTGTAGCGTTGACATCACAGGTAGCTTTTAATTTTGAAAAATTACCCTGGAAAAACAACAATACAAAATGTGAGTTACTGAGTCCATGTAAGTTTTCTATTTCCTCTTAGAGTGTTGTTGAGGCCAATTAATGCATACTAGAGGTTAATTTTACCTTTCTGGGAAGCTTTCATTTCCTCATATATTTAAGATCATTGTTTAAATTACCTACTTGCAAAATTTGGCAAATGGAAAATGGCACATTTTTGAAATGAGAAGGACAAATCTTGCAGCAAATAGAGATAAGATCCTGGTCTAATGGTGTTTGCCATTCTTGCTGTATTTCCTTCAGATGACATTTCTGACACATTCATTTCATAAGTAACCATTTCATAAGGAAAAACAAAGTGCTATGACCTTACCATGGATGGAACTCAGAAAAGAGATTTACAATACATGTAGCTAACTATTTACACTTTCCAAGCAACAAAGACACATTTATTTTGGCTAGCCTTTTATTCTAAGAATTTTTCCTTATATTTCCAATTTTCGGAAGGCATCACAACCATAAAGCAAGCCAATAACCACACATTTAATTTTGTTACACCATGTTAAATTTAAAGTTGCTATTATCAAATTCCCACACCATGTTATATTTTTGTGGTTCCTATTGCCACTTTTTGCAAATCAATTGCTACTGCAACTGTATTATCTCAATAAGGTTAACACTTTTGATCGGACTCTCTGCAAACTAAAACTTTTTATGACGAGGAACATTTACAGCACAGTATGCCTCTGTCTGCCAAAACTTCTCCAAATGACAAGGTATGGGATAATTAAATTGTCAATATTGAATATTACTTAGCAGACTGCACTGAAAATCTTTATTACCATCAGCTCTTTATCTGTGCCAAACCATTTTGTTTAGTATTAGTTAAAAATGGCTTGGATCTAGAGACGTTTTTTCTCCATAATAGCTTTTCAAACACACCCCCTAATTCCATTAAATTCCACCAATTCCATGGCACTGAGCAAAATACAATTTTTCTCTTCAGATTATATGTAAAATCATATATCCCTTGTGATAATTTCAAGTCATTCTAACAAATCCGTCAGTAAATATTTCATTAATGATTTGAGACAAAATTCACTCAATTAAGTGTCCAGTACCACCTTAACTTGGTATTGAAAATGTACCTTAACCCATTGGCACCTGCGTGTAACGCGTGCTTATCCAAAAGTTAAATTTGGAGAAACCGGAAAAGCAAACACAATGCACAGTACATTTTTATAAATCATCATTTCCCATAAACAAGCTCCAGAGAAAGAAGACCACTTAAATAACTTACTTTCAACGAAAAAAGCGATAGAGGCATATTAAGTTTTAACACTAAAAACAAGATAAAAGATAAAAATCGGTAAGTTTTTTCGCAAGTGTGCAAACAAGTACGCGGATTGGATTTTAATGTGAATATGCAAATTTGGCGGCGTGTGGAGAGATTTCAAGTTACATGGAATTTGTAAATAGGAAGCAAGACGAAACTGACCAAGAAACGTTTCGGGAAGAAAGCTTAATTCAAAACAGTTCTTGATTTTCTGTTAGAAGCGAAAAACGTGCGAATTTCTTACGTGTACGAAAACCACGAAGTAGAATTAATCATGCTCACATGACGTTTCTGCTTGACTTCACGGCTAGTAAATTGCGCAGCGTTATGTTGAAAATTCTGAGAGTTCTACGTTTTGACAAAGTCTTCGATTAGACATTACTTTCTGGACATCTCATTACTTAAACATGATATTTACCGGGCTCTGGAATCTTCATAATGTCGCTAGGCCTCGCTTGAAGTTCGAAAGTTCGGTTTCACTTTACAGCCCCAATTCGCATCGCTTCAGAGAATCGTAGTGTTGTCGACTCGAAAGCTTATTTTGTCGCTTTTAAGACCTTGATATCCATTACTTTCGTAGCAGATTATTCTAAAGTATTTTTACTTTTCATTTTGTGTTCCAGAAGGTCTAAAATAATCGGAAAGCAACGGAAAATCCGACTTGAAAATATTGAAAGTCGGCCGCGCGGACGCCATCTTTTCATATTTGATCATTCCTTGTGAACGCATAAAATAACGCCTTTCTAGTACCCCCTAAACTTATCAAATAACTGCGGAAAAAAACGTATTCTGATTGGTTTATAGATCCTCTAACAACAGAGGAATTTTGGAAACAAAATTCTACTTAGTAGGGGGAGGTAGGGGAGAAAGCGTCTCTAGCGCGGGTTCACCGCGCGGCACGGGCGGTTACGGCGGTTCAGGTGTCTAGTAAATTGGTGATTTCAAATAAGTTCCCGGAGCTGACGTATACAGGTTCAATTCAAAGTAAATAAAAAATCAGCAATGTGAAAGTTGTGAAAAAGTTACAAACAGGATCGACAAATAGAGAACTGCAAATGCACAAGCCGATGTCAAGAAAAACCTCCCCTAATCAAATCCCGAAAACACTGTTACAATGTGCATGATTAAATCAGTTGATTGAACTAAAAACATTTACATATGTTCGCATTATCTGACGAGTTGGCAGGGACAAAGAGATTTTTCACATGAGCCCTTTCTAAATTCTGACAGACACATGACCTGCAACCAGGCTACTTTCTTACCGCAGGAAGAGATAAAGGATCCTAGAAACAAGGTTGGGTCTTCATTCCCGTGAAGGGATCTGATCACAATTTTTAATAAGATGTTTAATTCAAACCATTTTGGTTTGGAAATATCCTAAGATATGTAAGCTGACAATCAAAGTTTGTGACACAACCCAGAAGTTTAATTACTCTACCTTCTACTTCAGGAGTGACTTGCTGATTATGGAAAATAAATCCATATTTTAAATGAACGAGTTGTCCTCCACAAATGTCTTCATGGTATGTTAAAAATGATATTTAAATTTGCATTTGAAACACATCTCTCATGCGTGAATTACTAAGCATTTCAACTGAACGAAATTCCACAATCCTTAAATTAATTCCACAGACAACGGATAATCCGTCCGTTATAAGGACAAGTGGACCGAAAACGTACACAATTCATGGTACCCGTTTTTTCGCACCATCTCGCCTGTAACACCTCACAGTTGTAAACACATGCAATGCGACGAAGGCACAGACAATGCAAATCCAGGGAAAACACGCATATCAAGTCACACCTCTAACCTACATTTAATTGAGAAAGTATAACAAAATTAGATACATCTCTAACTGACTGGACTTCTTCGGATGAAGTAACCTTGAGTTGACGAGGAAGAAGAGCTTTACGCGAGTTTCCTGCCGACGCAAACGTTGCAAACTCAGCACGTTTGTAAGGCGCCACGAACGCTGGGAGTCTGAGATTTCAAATTTGCATGTTTTCTCACGATAAATAGCTTAAAGACAATCTACATGTACACATTTGAAGGTATCAAGAGGATCTTAATACCTGAAAGTGGCATCGAACAGGTCCTAAAATGTAAAGAAATAGTAATTTCCTTAATCGCTTACCTTTGAGTCCTGAAGCACCTGTAAGCTGTTGCTGATTATTGCCACTGGTTTCCAGTGCTTAAAGTCTCTAAAAGGAATGGCCACAACTTTGCCGGTGAACTAATCACTCGAAGACATGATTACGAGCTGAAGAAATATGGAACTCAACCCATTATTGACGTAAACACTCCCTTGCTAGGAAGTCAGCTCAGTGACAGATGACCCTTACACGTTGATTGTGATAGAAAATGTCGTAGTTGGTGGGTGTGGATTTCTTGATTAATTTAGTCACATGATTAATTTACCAGCAGTGGTGCGGACAGTGGACTACGGGACGGTGGATCAGACGGTATGTCTGACAACGTTTTCGGGAATTAAATGGGTATGATACTAGAATGCGGTTAAATGATAACCTATAAATACCGACGCCCATTCGATAATATTACAACAAAATGAAACGGACAATTCATTTTTATTGTAGAGAATTACTCACAAAATTGGGAGTTATAATTTGGTAATCTGCTATATGCTATATGTCTGGAGGTAATTTCCTCATTTCTTGCATCTTTCAATTTTTTTTCTAAAATACCTATAAGCAAAGCATTTGATAAGGTGTGGCATGCTGGTTTGTTGTGTAAGTTGCGAACAGTCAACTGCGGAGTCCCTCAAGGGTCTTTGATAGGACCGCTTCTATTTTTTATTTATATCAATGATATTACTGATGATCTCGCCTCTCTTCCTTTGATTTATGCCGATGATACTACACTGTTCACGAGCCAGCCGTCTCAGCTGGTTGCCTAAATTCTTATCTAAATAAGATCTCCGGGTGGGCTGCTCCTGGTTGGTAGCTATGAATCCTGTTAAACCTCTCAATGTTGTATTTTCTCTCAAGCGTAATATACAAGATCACCCGCCTCTATTTCTTGACACCAAGGTCGTGAAAGACGTTGAGTCTCACGCTCACTAAGGCCTAACTTTGCAGAGTAATATTTGGTGGAGAAATAATAAAATTAAGATGTACAAGAAAGCCTTTAAACGATTAAATATGCTGAAATTTGTTAAATACAAGGTTGATAGATCCACCTCAATAACATGCTTGTACAAAACCCTGATTAGACCTCTTATCGAATATGGGGATGTTATCTGGAACAACTGTCATAATCGTGATTCAGCTTTACTGGATAATGTTCGATATGAAGCCACAGGGGTGGTAACAGGAGCCATTAAGGGAACCAGCTGCAGCTCTGCGAGGTTTCATAACCAACTTGCTTGGGAGCCTCTTTGTACCAGGAGAGAATGACATAAACTAAGTCAATTTTACAAAATAGT